TTTTTATTTTTATTCTTAAGGTATAATGTTTTAATAACAAAGGTTATTCTGATTATTAGTCATTTTTTAACTAAAGCCAAATTAAAATTATAATAATATGTTAAAGCTAATGATGATTTTATAATTTGCATAGTTTTTACAATTGTTGATAAAAGTTTATTTTGTAAAATTTTTCATAAGTTTCTTTAAGATGTTTTACATTGAATGCTTATGACAACAAGTCTCTATAGTGAAGATGAGTTGTTGATAATTTTACGTGGTTTAGTTTATTTGGGACAGATGATGACTAAATATTTGTGTGTTTGTTCTTTGCATGTCACACGTAGATTGTTGTTGGTTCTTTACTGATAATAAGAAGCGCGTTAAATTTAAAGCATCTACTAATGGGTGTGTCCTATTTTCACTCGAGTAATAATTATTTACTCACACGAAATTTGGTTTAAAAGAATCTGTAGTTTCATTAAATATACACAGTACACTAAAATATAATGTTACTTGTTACCTATACATGATCGTTATAATTACAACAGTATTAAACTTATATTCATATCTAGTAAAAATAATTGATTTTAACTATACTTCAAAATATTGAATAATAATTATTTATATAGTCGAACAATAAATTGTATGCACAGCTACGTTGTTAGATCGAAAATGTTAAGTTTTATTTTCATAAACTTTTACTATAGATACCTACTAATATTTATGTATATTTAATGCTTAAAATAATGAAATTATTATTATATAATAACTTATTATAAAAATAACTTTTTTCAGTCAAAGCTAGATAAAAATTACTTTTATTTATTAATACATTTTAATTTAATGTAATTTATTTAGATTTTTTTTTTAAAGCATTTATTGTTATTAATAATCCGATAATTTTTCGTGAACAAAATTCGCATGATTACATTTTGTCTTTTATTTTTTTACAAACTTCGTACACTAGTTATTAATATAATAATATTTATAATTTGGTACCTACTTGTTATTTAGTATAACTACCATGTTGTCGATCCAGTCATAACGTTGATTCAGACGAAAATACGCAATAACCTAATCAGTTAAATAATTCCTTAGGTAGCTGTAAAGGTGTATTGTTTTAATCTGTTTTGAGGACGTATTAGACTGTTTTGACTCAATGTTTCAAAATCAACAATGTAACTTATTAGTTTTATATAATCATCGATTGACAGTCTTTTAAAAATTTAACAATCAGTAACCACTGTTTAAAATTACTTCAAACGTGTGTGTTAAAAAGACAAGAATCATTTGATTATTTAGAAAGTTATAATGCAAACAAAACAAGTGGCTTTCCAAGTTTAAAATTATTAATCTAATAGATTCGCTGAACTAAAGACATTTTAAAGTTTTATATAGTGCTTTTATTTAATAAGACGTTACCCCAGTTTCAGATAGGACAGTAAGTTATAGAATTACTTGATAACTTGATAGGCTATACTATATTTAGGTATATTTAGTATTAAACTTCACGGATATTGGGGTAGTATAAGTTCTAAAACTCGGTAGACTAACATTTACTCTATCTGGCACTGCGCTGCCCAGATCAACGAAACCATTTAATGGCCAACAGAACGCGCTGCTCTAAATATAGTGTTTGTGATTATTCTAAGTGTATTTTTTAACAAAAATAATGTTTAACGAATCAAAACAAATATCATAGAATCATCGTAAAATCACTACATTTTCTCAGTTTATATGATACATTATCAGTTGAGCTAAATCTTTTTTAAAAATTCGAAAATATTTTCTATTCATTTTTAATATTTTATTATTTTATTTTTATTTATACGAAAAATATTTTATTCAACGAAAAATGTATTCGTTTAAGCATAGATTGTTCTGTATTTTTCTATATAATGTGGTGTTTTAATAATTACTATTAATACTCCTATAGTATCCATTCATTCATTCGTGCAAGACAGGGTTAAGTTAGGGTGCTTTTATACTACAAATTATTAGTTGGTGACGTTCTCTTCAGCTGAAAATGATAAAAAAAATATTATTTAAATTTAAAAATGTCAACAAAGTGATACTAGTAATACAAATTTGATTATTCTTTAATTACTGTTAGATTAGTATAGTCTTTATTAGATACTATTAATGATAAAATAAAATAAAATATAACTTCTATCATAACTATAAATGTCTATAACAAAAGTTTCTTCAAATATTTATTCTAATCATTTTTTTATAATTTCATCATTTAAGTATAACGTTTCTCGTCATTTCATGTTAATATAATATATTTAATTATATAATTTTGTCCAATTAGCATTCACAAAGTCATATCTTTGTAATAAATATTTAAATGTATATTTTTTAATGTTTTTCGCTTAATTCAATGATAGTTATTGTTTTTAGTAATAATTTAAACAAATATCTGCAGTTCAGGAAGGACCGGTTAAACGACGAGACACTGATAACGGTTTTCTGTTAGACACGTTTGTATTTATAGAGATACATACAATATTTATTTAACGTTACTTTTCAATTTTTAATTAACTGTGGTTTTTGACAGGGGCTTATAAAATGTTTGTCTTCTCAACACCTCATCTTGAGATCATTGACCCATAAAACAGAATCATTATACTCGTTTTTTATATAGTGAATGATATTGTTAAATATCAAATGGACTTCAGGATTTGTAAATTATTTTTATTACATGTCAGCGTTTTATGTGATCAGATTATTTCTATTACATCCGTGGATTGGATGCTTGTTGTATATATTCTTATAATTTTCTTGATTTTGTAGAATTTATATTTTACAAATCTCTTCAAAGTTTATAGAGTTAAGCAGTTTTATAATTTTTTATATAATTTTTTAGTTAGTTAAGTATATTAAATCAATGTTGATTAAATCTAAACAAATAAATATATATATATATATATTATATTACTGCTTAATTAAATGGTTAAATTTATATTTATGAAATACATTAACTATAGTAAGTAAATTATAGGAAAAAAAGTTATAATAAATAATAAATACATAATAAAAAATATGTAAATTCAATACTACATCATTAAAAGTAAATATATATGTTTAATTGTGCTACTTTATGTAAATATATTATAAAATATGTTCCAATTATTAAGTTTCCAATCAGCGGTTTACTATTTTTCATAAAATATACTACATGAATACGTGTAACTCAAATGATTGGAAAGAATATCATATTTCTTAAAAACTAAAATATGCATATTATAATATGAAACGTTATAGACTATAGTAATTTAAACTATATTACAATTTGAGTTATTTGATTTTTTCATTATTTATTTATTTTTTATGATAAGCGTTATATTGGTTTTTTTCTTTTTACAATTATTTCATTATTACCTAATTTTCTTTTTATGAATAATCGATTGTTACAGTTTTTTTTTTTTTTTTTTTTTAATAATGGTTAGTTTGACCGTATGTGTGGTTGACAAAAAAAAAAAAAAAAACAATAAACACAACATAAATATCGATCCGTGGAAATTAAATGGAAAACAGTTGTAATATCGTAGGCTTGCGCGAATTACCTACATTTTGATATAATTGGATCAAATACGAATCAAATTTTATTTTTTATTTTTCGTAAACCAATTGAGTAATATAATATTCTATTGAATTCGGTAACCGCATGAGTACACGCAGATATTTTCGTCAATCGATTTGCATTCATACACATGTATTTACACGTAGTTAAGAAGTACAATATGAAGAAAACCTTCAAAAAATAAATTCGAATTTGAATTAAAAGCATTAGGAAAAGTCAATTTTTGATTCGTCACGTATTATATTGTTACATATTATATCGCATTTTTTTCTTAGCCACCTGGTATTTGCAATATTATTTCGATGATTTTCACAAAATTCATTGACACGAATTTGGAAAAGGTCTAAAAGCTATGATAACATATTAACCCAGTTTGTGGAGAAAATTATCCATGCAATTCGATGGAATCTAGTGTAGTCGAATCATAATAATTGCGATGGGTGAATATTTTGCACAGTAAAAATTGAAAAAGAAAAACGTAGAAAAATAACATTTTTAAAACGATAATAATATACATTTTTATTATTATTACGTATTATTTTTGTTGTGTAGTGTCCTCCGCGAACGAGCCAACGTTCGTCTCGGTTTAACATTGGCACAAGGCCGATATGTTATGGAAATATAATAATATCTTATGTCCATAGCCTCTTGGAAATAAGAAACGTCACAAGTCGTTGACTGATTATTGTCACCGTGTATCATCGAACACTCTTGTTACACAAGTGTAAAAACTATAGCCAGTTATTCTTCTTTAGTGGCATAAATTATACCTTTTGATAAACAAAATCACTAATATACACGTTAATCATCCTAATGACTAATCATTGAATAAAACCTATCATACATCAAAATGAACATTTTGCACATAAAATTTCTGTTATATTTGTATGCTTGGGGCCTTTAAAAATATTGAATAAATATTTTGCACTTGAAATAATAATTCATTTAATTTAATAATGTAAAAAAAATAATAAAATATAAAAGTGTACCTATTATTAAAGTAAACCTATTTTCCTACTTAATACCTACGTACAAAATGTATGTTCTACAAATGTATAATACTATTATATATAATTTACACGAGTATATAATACGTATATCTACCTATTTAAAAGATTTAAAAAAATATATTTTTTAGAATCTAAATTGTCAACGTGTTATAAAACTTACATTCACAGTCGTTTTCACGCTCTGGTTCATACAACCTATCCTAAACATTTAATAGCATACAAATATATAATTTAACGATAATTCGTACTAGTTAGTTTTTACAGTTAAAATGTTAGATTTTGTTAAAAAATATCTAAGGAAATATTTTGTACTATTTGTACTATTTTACTTTGCAACATTAAATTATTTTACATGGTTTTATTAAATCATTTTATATTAATTTTTAAATACATTAAGAATAAATAAATATGACGTTTTTTAGGTTTTTAAAACTAATGTAAGATTCAGACATGGCGGGTACCGATACCCGATGGCTGGCGATACTGTGTTTGCTATCTGCGGTGCAATGTGTTCCTTCCAAGGTTACGTCTCAATTAGAAACAGATTCCGAAGACTCAAGAAGAGTTCTTGGTTCAAGGTTTGTTTAATAAATATTAAAAATTGTGTAACCAGTAATTCATTTTTTTTTTTATTTAACTTAGTGTGGTAACATCTGTATCTGTAATAATGGATCATGGAAATGGAACCAAAACGTATTTTGCTGATGGACAGAGTAAAAATGTACATAAACCTACAGATACTATTATAGGTAGTCCTGGAAATTTACTATCACCGGACCGTTATGAGTTTTATACGTTCGATGAAACGGGAGATTTAGTTAAACGATTAATGACATTAGATGAGATACATGGTTTAATTGCTGGAGCAGATCCAGAATCAGTGATGGCTGATGCTTCTCCTACGTATTATCATGATGCACTTGCAAGTCATTCGTCAGAAGCACTTATGCACTTACCCGCTTCAGATCTTGAATCACTAGATGCTCCAGCTGTTCACAAGGTTTTGGAAAGTGTACAAAACGTACTAAAAAATGAAATGGCAGCTAACTCAGGTAAACCTATTCCTTCTATGCCTAGCACATCTTTACATCGTCCAGATTCAGCTTCTGCGTGGTCAGCCTTATTCCCAGGCCTAATTGAAACTCCTGATGACGTAGCTCATCTTTCTGGGTACTTACTTCCGTCCAAAACTACAGAATCAATGGACACACCATTGATTAAAAAACCATTTTCACCAAATGAGGCACCGTTAGTATCAATGCAACCTCAATCAACAACACTTAAATTGCCATCGTCATCTATAAAAACACAATTGACCACTACAACAGAAAAAATAAGGTCAACACCAAAATCTACTGTCAAACCTGAAGTAACAACGAAATTTACTCCAACACAGCCAACAACACAATGGACAACACTTAAACCATTAACGACTAAAAAACCTTTCAAGCCAATACAGTCATTTGAGAAGCAAAAACCAGCACTGCAAAAACCAATTTTAATGTTGCATTCAACTGCTAAGCCCCCTATTACTGCTGATAGTCTTGAGATGAATAAAGAAATGTCTGCTTCTATATCAGATATGTTATCACAAGTGACTGATAGCCAATCATCCAACCACAAACCTTTACAAACTAATGATTTAATAGAAAAAGATAGTACGTCAGATTATGTACCAGAAGAAAGTTCGCCAGAATTAAGTTATTATAGCCCAATAGCAATGTCATTGAGCACCGGTGGCGCATTGAAACCAGTTACAGAAGCTTTAACATCGGCTAAAAAACCTCCTACTACAATGACATTTAAAACTACAACTACAGATAGACCATTTTCGCAAAAGACCGCTCCTACTATTACAGCAACAAGATTTTCACCACCTAAGTCTAATTTCACGAAACCTCGACCTCATGCGAATGCTACTACAACCTCTTATATGACAAAGCCATCATCGATTAATAAATTTACTGCAACTACTGCTTCGACTACCAGAAATAACTACCAGTATCCACCAAGTAACATGTCAACTAAGTATATGCAAAAAATTACTCAAACCACTCAAGCTTATCCAAACAAACTAATTGACAGTTTCGTAAAAGTTGTTAACAAAACGGTAAATAATGCAACTCTTAGCGTGAAACAACCAATAGATACGTTTTGGAATTCCACTGAGGAAGAGTCAAAGAATAAATTCGTCAAAGAGCCTGTTAAAGTTTTCCAGACTAAAGTTACTTCATCTCGACCAAACGGCATAAATCGAACGAATGTCACTTTGTCAAATCGCATACAAGAATTAAAAACTACGGCTATTCCAAATTTCGGATATGGTTCATCTACCACTACGGTTCGAAGTCAAACGGAACCAGATAAATATGTATCTGTAAAAGTGGAAGAATGGCCAATTACTGTTCAACATCCAACTGCTTACCCTTCCACTACTCCATACATGAGTACTGAAAAATCATTTTTTTCCAGCAATAGTCAGTCATTAAGCTCTGTTACAGATCCTAACGTCATTAGAGATTTAATATCATCTTTTATGACTAAAACGTCAACGGTTTCCAGTATCTCCACTAGTACTGTATCTCCAACTACTGTTAGTGCTGAACAAACGCTGACTGCGGCTATGTCGACTACTACACCATCAGTAATAAATACTGTGACAGGAATTCCTACATCAATGACATCGTCCACAGTTAGAGATTTAATGACATCAACAACAACTACGACGACCACAACAACTCCAACTACAACAATATCAACGAAAACAGAAGCCTCGGAAAATACAACAGTGGAAACTACAACGAAATCAGCATTAACGACAACAGGAATGGAAACGGTAAAAACCGCTGTTGAAGCTGCAGATACAGGTATAATTGCAGTGACGACTACTGCGGCTTCAATGAGTGCTGCGAATATGATAGCTGCCGGTACGACAGTTGCTCAGATAACAACTGACACACCGATAACACAGTCCACGGCCAGTGCAGCAACAGATTCAATAACATCCACAACAGCGACTGGAACAACGGTTGCCAATGTGACCACTGTTACATTTACAACACCAGAATCGGAAACGCAGTACGTACCCGTGACACATTTTTTGCCTGAATTACAACTGAAAGACAGACCAGAAACTGAAATTAACAACAGTGCACCGGGCGTAGATATGATGCTCAAAGACGGTATAAACGCGGTAACTAGTATGTTGCAAGACACACAAAAGCCGGCAGTGCCGACGGTTCTTGAAACTGAGTATCAGGAAATTGGTAAGCACCCTTACGAAAAATTGTCTTCAATTGAGGGTAAACAATCATCTACCGAACAAACTAGCCGGAAACAAGCGACTGTTAAATCAGACTTTGACGAAACTACCACATTTACCGTATCCGAGAACACAGCGACTCAGGATTTATACGAGTTCACTACGATTGCAGCGGAATCGGTTACCAAGTTTGTTGAGCAGAACGATTCGATGGCCGCGGAATCGGTAACCACCAATGAAACAGAACAGATTTTGCGAAATTCAGAACTAGGCTTGGAAATGTTGACTGTATTCAATGTTAGTTCTACCGATGGACCTGGACAAGTGGCTAAATTGACCGATTTGGCATCGGAAACGCAAGCGTTATTCGACACCACCACGCCATTTGAAAACCGAAGCGCCGTTACCAATTTGGCTACCGATACGGAAGAACCTGTAACTACAACATTTCCCCTTCATGTCCCTCCAGTGACGAAGGAAGTGACGGCATCAACCGTAACCGTGCCGTCAACATCGACTACCACGACGAAACTACCGTCACCAATACCATTAGTCAAAGCAGCGACTGTAACACCAGCATCAGTAACGACAGCAACGGCACCAACAACAGCATCAGCAGCAGTATCAGTCACAGCGTCAGAATCTGAAATTCAAAACTCAACGACGACAGTAGCCGAAAACTCTTCAGTGGCCGTAGCAAACTACACTACTTTGTCCACACCAGCTACGGTCACGTCATCGCCTATAGTAAAATCACCTGGACCTTCATCCAATGCATACAGGCCACCAATGGCGAATAGTGCGTCTCCGTCTACAGTTGAGCTGCATCCTGCGCCGCACGAGAGCATGGGCATGGAAGCAAGTGTAGCTTTCTTGGGTGATGACGTACGCCGATTTGTGGACCTTTGTAATGAGCTGTCGTTCAAAATGTGGACAGCCGTAACCGGAAAAGGTCAAATAGCATCCAGAAGTCTGGTGCTATCTCCTTTCGAGCTAACCGCTATGCTAGCCATGGTATTCTTAGGGGCCCGTGGTTCCACTTCCGGTCAGATGAACGACGTACTTCGGCTTGATGATATGGTGACATTTAATCCTCACCAAGTACTTCGGAATATAACACACTCGATAACGAATGTCAACAATCCTGGTGTGGCCACCGCATCTTTCGTCAGGGAGATATACAGCCATAAGGTAATAATTGTTGTTTATACTTAGATTTAATATAAACAAAATTATTTTTAAATGTTTACATTTTTTAAATTTTTTTTATAGGGAAATGGCAAAATACTAGAATTCTATAAAGAACGAGTACAGCAGTATTATGATGGACACGTAGAAGAAGTCGACTTTAACACGATCGGAGACGTTTTAAGGAGACGAACGAATTTATTGGTCAAAAGACAAACATTGGGTCGTGTTGTAGAATATCTTCGCGGATCTGGTTTAAGTTTGACACCGCCATTCGCTGCATTCAGTGCTAACGTATTCCAGGTATAAATATTTTAATTAATAATAATTCAGAGTTGATAAGAATATTTATATAAGTATATCTATCAAAATATATTCTATCGAAATAAAGATAATTTAACCCTTGATAGACATTCGTTAACATGAAAAACAATATACACACTCTGTATTCTATAATGATATAATATTATTATTTTATTATCGTTTCGCATTTTGAATTTACTTGTTATAAAATATTCAAAAGTAAAAATATTTTCTATGGCCTCACGTAGACTATGTTTAAAATTATAATGATTATAACCAATGTAATAGCCAAAATAATATTTGATCTCCAAATAGTTCAATGATTGTAAATTCTATTAATCACAATTTAAGACTACAAAATAAATAAAAATAATTATTATTTAAAACAAGTGTACAGTTTAAAATCAACTTGTGTCTATTGCAAATAACTCATGCACCCCATTTGTGTTACAGACGAGCTGCGAGAGCGCGTCAACCGAAGGCCGGGACGGTGAAATGTACTTCGTGGTGAGGCCGTCAACCAGACAGCGACGCCTGGTACCGGTGCCGGCGGCCGTGTGGCGCAGTGGGTTCCTGGCCGGTTACGAACCCGGGCTAGACGCGACGGCCGTTTGCCTGGGCCCGGACTCGGCAGTGTCCACCATACTGGTGCTGCCGGGCCAGCAGGGCCAGGTGGCTCCAGGTGACGGACTTGCCCGATTGGAGCAGCGGCTCATCGAGACGTCTTACCGACGGGGCGGCTGGTCTCGAGTACTCCGGAGCCTGTTGCCTCGGCCCGGGCTCGAGCTGCAGGTGCCGCGGTTCTCGCACCGATCCGTGCTGAACACCACGGCCGCCCTGCAAAAGATGGGTCTCCGGGACGTGTTCAGCGACCAGAAGGCAGACTTGCGCGGCGTCAACGGGCTGTACGACTTGTACCTGTCCGACATGCTGCAGGTGAACACGTTCAGTACGTGCGGCGAGGACACCATCGGCGCCAGGCATCACGTGGAAACGTATCCGGCGTCACCGCAGCGGATGGGTCGCAACGGCCGCGACGGGAGCAGTCTAACCGGAAGTGACGACGATGACCGCGTAAGCACCGACGAGAGCATTCACGATGGCGTCCACGAAGGTGGTCGCCGGAAACGCGACGCCGATGACTTGCCGCTGCACAGCCCGTACTCGCATTTGCCGCTCAACCTGCGGCCCAGGCAGGCGAGACTCCCGGACGTGCCGAGGCTCCGGTTCGACAGGCCGTTTTTGTACCTTGTCCGGCACAACCCCACAGGCATGATCATCTACTTGGGCAGGTTTAATCCGAGGCTGTTGCCGTGAACCGTCACGCGACGATTATAATAATTAACGAAATCATTATTATTAATAATAACCATATTGACATCGTCCAAAAAAACATAATGTAACATTATAAATATGTGTACACTATCACACTATTGCCAAATGATGGATTTAATGTGAGTTTCTGTTTTAAAAATATCGAATCGACCGCAAGACATAATTCCGTTTTTGCAACCAAAAATTAACTGCAGTACCTACTGTGTTTGACATTAGGTTTTATGGAACTAATCCTGTCGATTTCACTGACATTTAACAATAAAAGTATTTAAAAATGATCCATTGATATTTTTCAAATAATTTTATGATCTTGGTAAAATCGACATCCTAAACGTTTATTTAAGTTTATTATTATATACAATAATTTTACATATTATTTATATAGGTATATTTATTTTTATACGTACAATTTTATATTATTACTATTTTTCAGTTTATTATTATCGTAATAATTAGGTGTACTAAATGCGTTATTATAAAACTGTGACACGCTTTGTGATATATATTTTGGCAACATTAAATTATATTTTTTATACATAAAAATTATATTAAATATTTAAATATTAGATTTTTTATATGGAAAATAAGATTGTTCCTAGTTTTTTTAAGGAAACATGTCTACGTTTATTTTTGTAAATTTTTACTATAAATCAATTATCATTTATATAAAATTTACTTCAATAATACGTTTACAGTTGAATTTATTTTAGTTTTAGTCAAAATTATAATTTTTTAAATTATTTTTTACGTAATAATAAAGAATTAAACAGGTACCTTTCTATTGTATTTCATTTGTACTTAATTATAATTGTAAGATTCAAAGGGCAATATGTTTGTGCCTTTAATTTTATTTATAGAATAATCAACGTGTGTATACTTATCATACTTATCATATTATTATTAAGTTGACGTTCTTCAAATTACGAACAATTCCACATGCTTATTAACTATAATAAATTTATGTACTATAATTCACATTATACAAGAAAGTAAAAACCAATATTTATTGCTGTCAATAAATGATAATGGACTATGTGTAGGGGTGTGTAGAACTTTATGTAACATAATTTAAAACAAATTGTATAGACATATTAATATTGTATAATATTGTTAATTTATCAGTGATGATAAGTACGTCAACATTAGCATTTAGGAATTACTGATTTTAGAAACACTTAATTGAAATATAATACTTGATCAGGATATCTTAGTATCAAAAATATTTTATCATTAATGAAATAATAAGAACTATGTTAGGTAATTATTACTTTAAATTATAAGTAATAGCGTTAATCCAAGTAGTGTAAACAAGATCGACAGCCCTTTGTAAATTAATGTTAAATCGAAATAGTATGAGTTATGAAGATCAAGGATTTCAAGTCTGGATAATCTTATCAATTGGAAATGTAAAAAAGATGATTTTACTAGTTTGTGGAAGTCAGTAGATAAATGGTCAACATATTGAAATTTGGTATATCATAACGTAGTTAACATCAGAACGCGTTAGCAATAGGCACAAATAATAATTTAGTCAAACGAACTTTGTAATGTAGATAATTCTATTTAACAATAAGTAGTTATTATAATTGTTATTCTGAAATTGGCTTAATGTAATTTTAGTTAAAATTAAAAATTAAACTATTTTAAACGTATAAAATATAATAGGTAATAAGTTAAATCGAAACAATATAATCTCAACTATAAATAATAATTCTATATCTATATGATGCAGTAGTAAAAAATAAATAAATGAATAACCAAACCATAAACTCTCTTTGCAGTACGGTTGGTTTCGGTTACCTCGTCATTGAGTAGTAATAATAATGAATATGAATATTTGAATTCAATGCAATAATCATTATAATATACGAAAATACTATTCTGAATGAAAAAGATGAGTAGATCAGCGTTTATTCTATTTCTAATATTAATAGATGTTATATATTTATATTATTATTAGTATTTTTTTTGTATAGCAGGTTAAGCAATAATTTTTGTCAAAAAATGTTACATATTATACTTAATTATAAATTAATACTGACTTATCGTATAATAATATGGCCAGAGTCTCATAGTAAAAAAAGCTCAAAGTTAGTTTTAATATTAAATATTATAATAATTTAATTTTATTATTTACATAGAACATTATAATAATAGTTCATTTTTCCGAGTTTAGGGTTAATATTTTTGATTTAAAACAAAATAGTTGAAATGCACTGAAGGAAAACCCGTCATTTTACATTTAAATATCCAATGAGTTAAAAATTTTAACTTAAATGCTTATATTACAAAAAATGAGGTATATACCAATATATTTTAATTATTTAACTGATTAAAAACAATTTATGAATTAAAAAGAACTTTTTATATCGCTATTAATTGTATTGACTTGGATTAAACATTAAAGTATGATGAAAAACATTTTTTTTTTCAAATTTATATTTATTACATAATATTGTTTCAACAAATTTTCATTAGAAATTAATGAAGTATAAAAAACTCTTTTAATGTAAAAATATCTATTGATGGCTAATAAAAATGCTCATATCTATATGAACTTTTTAAGTTCTAACACTCTATTAAATTGTGATATATACAATATAAAATAATATTTTTAATTATAATTACTCATTAGGATTAATCTCAAACCAAATATTTATAGAAAAATCTACTTATCTAAACGTTATCCTAATGACAAAATGCAGATCAATGTGCTTTAATAAAATAAGTAGTTTTAATCAGTTAGTTATCTACTAAATACTCAAATTATAAGTATAGATATATCTAATGACAGCTGTGTAATTTTAAACCTAAATATAAACTTATGTATGTTAAATGTTTATCATATAAACAAAGATAACCTTAAGACTAAATACGTCATTTATATAACAGTTACTGATTACAATTTTTATATTTAATTAATTATAGAAAACAGGAATATATTATAAAAAATAGCTAACTAAGAATACGTACGCTCTCCGAGTGTGATTTTATTAGGGAGTTCTGTATAATATGACGACACACAATTCTCGATTGAAAATCAAGAGTATAATTTTACAGCACTATAGATTTAGTATAAGTACTTTGAAAATTGCTTACTAATTATTGATAAACTGCAGTCTAGTTATCAGTTATTGATTTTCTTGTTAGTTTCTCTAAATATGAGAATAAGTAAAACTGTTTAACAAAATCCAAAAAATATTAGTGACATTTAGACCATTTAGTGATATATATTTTAATGAATTAGACTTTGGTCTAATAATAATAAATAATATATTATTATTATTATTATTATTCAAAAATCAATATTATAATATAATATCATGGTACAATGGGTAAATTTAAATAAACAATTTATTTCATTAATTAAAGTTAATAATTAAGATAAAAACTAAAAACTAATGAATGTAAATTAACGAAATTTATCAAAATATTTCTAACTAAATCAATAGGTATTTTTAATGTTTAGTTTTGTGTTATTATCCAAAACAAAAAACGAGTGAAATTTGAGATAATTGTTGGGTTTTAATTCATCGAAAAAAAAAATCAAGTTCATGAAATAGGTAATATAAATAAATTATAAGCTTAGTTTTTTTTTTAGTTTGTTTTATTTTATTAATTTTATTATTTTATGTTGACAAATAATTCTTAGATACAGGTAGGAAGATTTCATTGTATGTGGAAAAGTACAGGAATCGTTAAAGAGATACAGGTAGTGTATTTTAAGTTCAAAAATATTCTGTAAAACTATAAGATTTTTTAATGAAATCTCTATTGAAATAATGTTTATTGTATTACTTTGTTTTAAAATATTAATAAATAAAACCTTAAAACTATATTGGTTATAAGAAAAGAAAAGAAAGTTATTTTGATATTATATTACGAGTATTATCTTTATAACATAATTTTTAAATTTTTCAGATTGAACAAAAAAAAAAAAAAAAAAAAGTAACTACTAAGTTAAATTTTGAGTGTTATTGTTTATTATAACTGTTAACTGGGAAATCCGCGAATCACTTTGCTATGTAATAATATTAAGAACTAGTTATGTTTGTCGTCCGCTACTAAATAATGATATATAATATTATTGATATTTTCATGTATTATAAAATTCTAAATTAAGCAATATAGACTTCTTAGAACAAATAAATTGGCTGTCCATTTAAGACGAAAATGACAACACCATATGGAAAATCTACATTATACTTTTTACGAGTTTTTCTAGAGTATAATTTTTCTTTATTAATAATATTAAATTATTATACACACAAAATACAGTCCGATTCCAATAGGTAATAACAACTATTAATATTAACTATTACTGTTATTCTTAGTATAGGTAATATACTGTACATACTTATTTACGTAGTACAGTGATATTTTTTTTATAAGTAAATATTTTGTTGTCTCTGATGAACCACGTTTGCTGACGTGCGTTGTATCACATGTTCTTGTCGTTATCAGCTATTCAGGGCCTTGATCACGTGAAGATAAGACTCTTGTTTGTTATATCGTTCGTTTCAATCAAAATATTATATATATAACAATATAACAATATATAGATATAGATATACTTATTATATAATATTTATATATGTGCATATAGTTTAATAATGTAACATGTGCACACACGCGGGTTCCGCATCATCGGTACTTTTTATCGCGGTTTACGTACTTTCAATGATTCTCGTGTAATCAAAGTGCGATTCTCCGTCAAAAGTTCCGAAACGTTCATCCAGTGCAGACATGAGACCCGACAGTAAACTCAAACTGAAATCAGAATGCTTTGCCATCAACAGGTTGCAGCTGTTGGAATACGAATATCACACTGCCCTCGACGACCTTAAAAAAGTGCGTAAATCGATTAATAATTAAACGTATACAATAAAATTTATAAAGTAAATGTATACAATGTTTGTATATATATATATATAATATATACAGTGGGTACTTTCATATTTTCATCCAGCTCACATTGTACACACTATATACTGATATAATAATAATAATAATAATATCATCATATCCAATATTATTTATTATTTATGTATAAATAAGTTATATTAATATGCATGATATATTTTAATAATCGTAAATAGAGTGTTTGAATTCAATAATATTGTAACTTACGCGTGGCCTGCCCCGATTTTATTTATTAAATCTATAATCTTAATATTTATTAGGAATGTTATAACTAAATACCTACATAATATTTTGTTTGTAATCTATAAGAATAGTATCGCAAAATTTGAAATAGCGTGCATTATGCTGAAAATTTTAATTTCAATTTTCAAATAAATAAAAACAATAATAATAATATGATACGAGTAAAATGTTCGTGACTATTTTTAATGTAATTTACATCATTCTGAATATTATATTTATATCGTAAAATTCGGTTAGGTTGTAGTGTTTAAAGTGACCATTGATTGATTAGTTTACCCAAATAAAAATAAAAAATGTTCACCTATTTACGTATATCCAGTTTTAATATAATATTAAATTCTAAAACCTTTATATTGGTATTTAAAAAGTAAAATACACAATTTTAGTTATTTTATTCAAATATTAATTTAATACCAAGTTATGTAAATTAAGTAAAATCTTTTGTTTGCAATAAAACTGCAAGTTCAATTGTATTTATATTATTGCAAGTTTATTACCTATGTTTAAAATATTAGCTCAATGAAAAACTTTGTATTTGAAATCGTTTTTGTGCTTATTTATTTATAGTACATATCGAATTATATACTAATGTTTCGTTTTTAATTTAAAATAGAAAACTAATAATATTATAAGTATTTTAATATCCGATCAATACGATATTATTTTATTAAAAATGTCGATAAATATTGCACATACCCTTTATAATATAATATTATTTAAAAAAAAATAAATTCGAAGACTAATAAGTACTTTCACAATTTTTTTAAAATTCAAATTAATATATCCATCTATGCAATAGTTATGGTGGATATAGTCGAAACTATTGTGAATTTGTATGATTTAAAATATGACTTATGATTTTTATTTTTACATATCCCCCGCAAATATTGTGCTCGTAGATTAAAGATTTAACTACTGAACTTGAATTTGGTATTTTACACACTTGTAAGACATCTAATAGAAACACGGATGAGACATGGAATATTTACTCTCGTTTTGCTAGGAAGTGGTCAAATTAACCCGAGTAATTGTTTTGAGAATTCTTATAAGTATCTTCTTACAATTACTTACAAAGATCACCTAATGTGAAAACAGTTTTGATCATTACATTTTCAATAGTTATTATAAAATAATATTCTTTAGAGTCTATAATGTAGACCAAAACACCGCACGTTGACGTATGAAATGTGTACTAATAAAAACTTACAAATTAGTAAAGCAGTAATATAACATATTCTATTACAACAAAAATATAATTTTTCAGAAATCTTTTAAGTTTTAAGGATGGTTATTTTTTATTGCTGAAATTATATACTTCCTTAAATAACCATGAATAAAATGTATATTTATTATATATTTTTTATATAAATATTATAATATGCTTATTATCAGTAGCGCGAAGTGGTAAAACTTGACGGGTATATGGGTTTAAGTAATGTATATAATATTTACTATTCTAAATAAGCGTATTTTAAATTGTATTTAAACTTCGATTTATAGATTATAGTTATTATATCTACTGTTATGTATAATTTATATTCGAGTGTATGCAATGTTAAATGTATCTATGTATATTTCAATTTTTATTTATTGTCAACAAAAAATACCGATGTCGATTCCGAATATGTCTGACAGCAGAAATAATAAGTACAGTGAAACTTTGGGCAGATGCATTCGACAACATTGTTAAAATCATAGTCTATGTGACACGAGCGACTAACCACCTTTAAGTTTTAACACAATAATTATTACAATAAACCTGTTATTTAGTTTTAATAGTTATTTTTGCATACGTTTAGATGTTTCTTATGACAAAAATATATTTTAATCAATGTTAAATATTTTTGACATTTTTTGTATGTTGTAATTTACTATTGTTTAAATATATCATATTTCTAAATTATTTTTGTTTATTTGAACCAAACTCGTACACTGATAAGAAAAATTGGAAATTTCCCTGTTTTAAATTTTAAACTTTGTATTTTGTATTGGTTATGAATTTATGATTTATAACTCTCTACAACACCATCCCTCTTAAAATTAGTTGTTTATATTTGAATGTACCACAATATCACTGATATATTAAATTTAAATATATATATATATTACTTTATTTAAACCAATATTTTATGAATTTTTTCTTTATATTAATTTTAATAAATATACACTATTTTATTATTTGTTTCGACAATTATAAAAATCAAAACTGGAAATAAAAGACAATTTAATTTGCAATTACTATTTACAATTGTAAATTTTATTTTGTACAAAACACAAGTATTTTTTAATTAGATAAATTTTTATTAATGAGTGACTCCTTAATCAACTCTTTTTATGTTTTACTTACTTAATGTGTATAATAATATCTTATTAGTTTTTTTATATAAATTGTTTATTTTTAATAAAAATAAAAAAACAAGTATTATCATACAACATACAGTATACGTGATGAAATATAAATTGTATGTATTAAAAAAGTAAATATTTTTAATATTTTTTTAAAATTTTAAAAACATAAAATTAATAATTTGATTGAATATATTACCAACTCAATATTAATTATATTTACTTAAAATGTAAAAATAAATATGTAATCAGAATAATTTTGTTATTCATGCATTGCCCTAGTAAACAATAACATTATTATACTTTAAGTCATTTTTACTATAATAATACAAGCTATATTTGTTTTTTATTTCTATTTTTAGTTGAACTTTATACCTATTTCCGGTTATAAATAAAATAATAACAATTTATTGAAAATACGGAAGTATAAATAATTATGTTAATTTAATTGTAAATAAAAACAAACAAAAATAATTGTTTCGTTATTCAATATATTGTAAAGTTATAAATAAGTAATAATCATTCTTAAATCTTAATATCTAGAATTAACTGTATTTATTTAAGTTATAATATAAAATAAATGATATCAATGTGTTCGAAAGTTATTCACGAATCAAATTATTTTTTATAATAAAGATCTTTATGATAACTCATATAATAATTTTAGGTATATTTGATTATCCTTTGAGCGTAATAAACGTGATTATCAAAATAGTTAAAGGTTTTTAAAACGTTATATGCTAAGAGAATTAATATAATATAGACCACTATTTGGTTCCCTGTGATTTAATAAAAACAATAATATAATTAAATATTAAAAAAAAAGTCTGAAATTTTGCTAATCCTAATATCTTGTTTGATTATCAAAATCAAATAAGAACTGACTTCCTATTCAAAAATGCAGCAGTTATCATTACATTTTTTTTTTTTTTTAGTATCGCTTTACTTAAATATTATTAGTTAAGTAAAATTTCTCTTTTGGTTTTAACGATTAGTTTACTACCAATTTTGGTTTTGGTTTCCTTGATCAATTTTACACAAAATCAACAATATTTTTAACTATTTTAAGATTATGTTAAAATAAACTGTATGTAATAAAAAAATTTATTTATAGTTCGTACAAAAAGTGTTTCAGTAATCTAGTATTTGCATTCTTATTTAGTAATCAACACATTGAAATACGGTAAAATCAATAATATCTTAGTAAATGTACCTATATTATTACGAAAAAAATAATGAAATTTATTTATGGATTCGTTTCTTTAACGCAGGATCAAATATCCTTCAGTATTCTCTCCGACGTCTGCTTGCCGGTGTCACTACTGATCCTCGTAGTAATATGGGGCTACCAATTGAACGCCATGACCATAGACGCCGATAACGGAGATAACCATACAATGTTACTTGTATATGGCATTGGAATCATTGTGGTCTCGGGAACGGCATGCGTTTATATTGCCATACGAATGTCAGTCATGTCACGACCAGAAATCGAAGTGACCACTTTTCTCCAAGGAGAGGTAGTAATATTTTTAAATCAAAGAAATATTATTAGGTTGTTGTATAGGCATGTGTGATGCGTGAGGTGTTAAAAAATAAATGTGGATTGAAAGAAAAATACCATCTGAGTGGAATAATAATAATTTTATTTTATTGTTTAACTATTACATAAATATTTAATACAGTAATATTATTATATTCTGTTCGGCATTATTATTCATTCATGTGGTGACTTTTTAAACCGAAATGTAATTTTATATTATGTGACGCAATAAGGATGATTAAATCTGTATAGATAATAATTTAAGAATACAAAGTTATAAAGCCACAATAATTGACTTTTAAATATATTTTTGATTTCTTGTATGAAAATGTTTATGAATTAAATTAAAAATGCTTTAATATAAAAAGATAATTTATAAAGATTTCTTTAATAGACTATTATATTTTTACAATAATATATTAATAAAGTACCTACCTATTAAACTTGAAATTGTACAAAACACAATTATTAAATTGCCATTGATTTTTAGTTATAATATTTTGGTATAATCCATTTTAATGAATTCAAGACAATTTCATTAATTTTGTGTTTAATTGTTATATGTTTATAATTTATATTGATTATCTATTTTATTATAATTTTCAGATGAGACCTTTACATTCTAAACAAAAAAGATCTCAATATTTTTACTATCAAACTATACCTGATATACACAGAACTGGTAAAAAACAAACCGATATTTTTATTGTATAAAATACATACATTTTTTTTATTTGTATTTATACTTAGTCATTTTTATTTTTAATATTTTAATAAAAAGAATTACATATAATTTATCAAAAGTTATTGTAAGTAAGCTCAATAATGTTGGCCCTTTAACATTTTTATACTTGTATGTTATTTTATTTTACTCCGAAAGTTCGTAATACTTGTAAACTGATCAGTATTAATGCTGAACCTATGTGTATTTATGTGACTTTCATTTAGCTTATAGTTTTTTTTATATAGAAATAATATTGTATATACTTTAAATTTATGTAAATAAAATGTTATGTTTAAATTAATAAAAGTTATTTTTTGTTTTAATTAACAACATCAGCTAAAATTGAACGAATATTAATGTTATATTAACTGGTATATTATTATATGGTTTTTTAATAAAACATATTGTACCACGATGTACGGCGACTTATATAGGCAGTTTTAATACATATGTGAGTAGAAACCAAAGTATATAACATTTGATTCGCTTATCACACGGCGCGTTCATTTGTGCTTTCTATGATATTCACTTTAAATAATTGTAATAGTTTATACTTGTCTTATTTGTTTTTTTTTAGTTTATTTTAATATTATGAATTCATATTAGTTATAAACTAGGCATTGAAGTAATATCACTTGAATTTTAAAAAATACATCAAGTAGTATCGATAGAAAATGTATAATATTTTTTACGGTTTTTAGTATTATGGCAGGTATACGGGCTATACCTATATTATATCAAATAAACGAGCATAAAATAAGTTTTTTTTTTGAAAAATATGTTTTTTTTTTATTAATTGTATTTCAGTATAATTATAAATTTAAAGTCTATTTTCAGTGAAAAACTAGCATTTTTCTATATTTGTATAGGTAATAAATGCAATTTTATTTGTGATTTTTTTTTTTTTTTAAAGAATTATAATGACGTATCAATAAAGGATGATTTTCACTCGTACAATAAGTACTACAAAACATAATTTTATACTTTGTATTGATTAATAAAAGTTAGAACATTTAAAGCTAAGGTAGCAAATATATTATAGAATTTAAAAAAAGTAAAATAGTAAAATGTTGGCTGTTGCTTATCCACAGCAATAGAATACACCAAAAAAATATCAGTTTCAATAACTAAAAAATCCTCAACAAAGAATTTATTTATTGAAAACTAATAATAAGAATAAAACCATAAATTATCCTGGTTATTTGAACCGAGAGAATAATTAGAAAATATAAACTAGTATTCCAGGAGTTGGTTCGACTAACTTAAAATATAATGTAGACGAAAAGAGTAAAATTCCATAAATGGTGAATATCAATAGAAAAAAACACACGTAAATGACGTGACTGACTAAATTCTCAAAAATGTCTTTGGAAAATCAAAAAGCTACAACAACCAACGTTATACAATATTTTCTCGGTTCAAATTTTAGAGAGTTGTTACATTACTTTCGTCGAATTTTATCAAAACAAATCTATTGAAGACACGCACACTCTGGTCTGCTCAAATCCAAAAATAGTAAATTATTTACTTGTATTATAACTGTTCTCGGTGTCGATATCGAAACGAATACCATTGTGAAAACGTCAAAGACTTATCACTTGCGTGTTCTACTTTTTAATCACGCCGTATACATCACAGCTGTTATATAGAACGGTCCGTAGTAAGTTAAATTAAACACACGAAAAATAAAAATCGATCACGAATGGCGACAGCGTTACGGCCTGTAAGCAGTCTGTCTGGCGCCGTTGCGGACGAACTATCGCACAATAAAATAATAATATTATTATTATACTCTTTTCGGTTCAACACAGTGTACACAAACGACGAAACAGTGTTATCTTCAGGCTATATTAATTATATTGGTAAGTGCGCGAAAATATCTAAATAATAATAATAGTACAATATTTATTATTTTATATTTGTGAATATTCAAAATATCGGAACATTTTAAATATTGTTCGTTACTAGACTGAAAACATTCTTGTATTTTACCTCAGTCAGTTGAGGGTCACGGTCAGGGTTACAATCGTAATAATATTATATTTATTATAATCTTCTTGCGTGTATTTTCATTGATCACGTCATTTTGATAATATGTAAATACCTGTTACAGACTGTTTTATCGTTGTTTTAACCTAACCTAACTTGTAGGATTAGATTGACTCACGCGTACCTACACCAAAAACGAAAAACTTAAGTACCTATAGGTAACATTTTTCTCATCCACATCGACCTTGAATGTGTAAAGTAAATTAGTTATTGACATCAGAACGTATGAAAACAAAAGTACAATCACGTATCTTAAAAAAAAAAAAAACATTAAAACACATGAATTCTAAAAAACGGAATTTTATTTTTATTTTTAACGATTTTGTAAGATGTAAAAATTATTTCGCTGCAAAGTAACAGTTTATGTGCCTTTTTTTAATGTAATTCTTTAGTCAATTTTTACTTTTGTTGTTTTCAAAAATATCGTTGACAAATATTTTTAAATTGCACAATAATTTGTTAGCTTTTGAATGATACTACATCTTATCTTAAACCAATATTTTTCATTTTAATTAGTATCGTAATAACTTAAATAGACCCATAATATTTTTTATTTTAAATTAGTTAATACAATAACATATACTATACATGTATTTTGGACCGTTAAAAGGTTTCTATAATATTCGTTATGTTCATAATACCAATATAATTAGAAGGATTGTTACATGTAATAATATGATGTACAAAAAAAGCTTTTAATTTTATTAATTTTTTAGGTTCTGTTTGTTTCAAATATTTCTGCAGGTTACAATGTATTTATTAGTTGAACGCTTTTATAGATATTGCTAGCGCTATTTAATATTTTATACAAAGTTTTAGAGGTTTAAGTTTAGATAATATTACACTTGAGTACTATATAAATGAAAAGTTAAAAATTTGATTGCTCTGTATTCTAATATTAATAATTAATATGTAATATTAAATTATATATGCGTGTACATAGAAATAGTAATTATTATATTTCGCCCGATTCATAATAAACAATTTGAATTATTATAGGTACTTTTAATTTGTCTTAACGGCAGTGAGGTATGCAAAGATTATTTTTAACTTTATAAATAATTAATAAATATATTTTGATAACTGACCCAAGAATATATTTGAAACAAAATAGAAGATTTATAATTATAATAATCTATACATTTTTTTTTTAATATGGGTACCTACTACCTATTAACTTAATATATGATTTAACTATACTGGTCTCGAGTTTTGGCCACCATAAATAAAATATTTTTAAGATATGCATAATTTTTTCGTCGTTGTGTTGGTGTAACGAAGTAGGTACATTGCATACAGCTAAACCGACAGCTTTGTGTATTTTATAAGCATGTGTCATTGGCGGTTTTCCAAGGACAGACATAACACTTTTCTGTAGAACGATATATATATATATATATATATAAATATTCACTGTGCACAACCAACCTTTAAGCATAACATATAAGTTGTGTACAAACATTTAGTTCATTAATCAATACAAAATCGTTTTTATTGTATTATGATAATTTTGTATATAATATATATATTTACAGAAAATAATAATAAAAGTTCATTTTTATTTATTAGTGTACAACATATAATACCTATCATAAGATGTCGATGAACAATACATTTAGATAAATATTTTATTTTCAATATTGTTATAAATTTATTTAAATAGAGTTAAACATTTTTGAACTACTATTTAATTATTCAGATATTTAAACATTGAATGCTTAAGTAAAAATGAGACTCACAGTTTGATGAGTAAACATTTGACCGTTGAATGTGATGAAATTTTGTTATGTACATTAATGTTCATTATAATATGTGCTAATAAGACTGGCGATGATACAAACATGTTTCTTCGATGACACATATTATATTATATTTATCAATGTTTATAACTATAAATATATAATTTACCTATGTGTAACATTAAAACATAATTTGTATGTCGTACTTTAGATAAAATTATACAGTTATATTTTAAACTTAAACATTAAAATGCATTTTATAATTAGGTTGAGCTTATATTATTTGTCGACCCAAATATGTATTTTGATAAAAAAAATATTATTCATGACTGATTATTTAAATATTGTTATAGAATTAAAATATGTTAACGTTTTCAAGAATACAGATGACTAACTTACAAGTATAATAGACAGCATATTATAAATTGCATGTATACAATTGTTATGATAAGGTTAACCATATAAAATCATTTAAGTGTGTTTAAAAATGTAGCAATAAAGCGATCGCCATTCCCCTCAACAATCTTTTTTTATAATATAAATTCACCGGATACAACTCATGGTCTTACATTTAATTCCACATTGAATAAATAAAATGTTGATAAATACTACCCATCGTTAAAAAAAAAAAAAATCTTAAATATTTATTGATTTATAGCAGATAGATCACATAACGTTTAACTAGTTCCAAAGTTTCTTTTATTTTCTTATAGATACATATAAAAATAGGTACATGTGTAGATTACAGTCTACAGTTGAAAATATAAGCTAAATATTTCAACATCTTATTTTATCAAGTAGGACGTGTAGGTATTATACAAACAATGTATTATGTAGTTCATTACGTGTTTAAACTTTTAATAAACTTCTATAAACTTTACATTGATTTCTGTTCACTCTGTAATTCCAAAAATAGTAAATAAAATGTAAAAACAACTTGAGAGATGAGTAATATAAGTACATAATTATATTATTTTTATGATGATTGTTTAGATTTATAAATAATTAAATACCTGACAAAAAACAACTTTCATAAATAAAATATAGAAATAAATTCTTTATTTTTTTTTTTTTTTTGTTTTAATAGATATTTTCACCTGAAATTAATAAGAACTGCATTTCTCTTGTTTGTATCATATATTAAGTTTCAAACAAATAATACGACAAACATATTATGTATACTTAGAAGACCCAAATTATACGACTCATCATTATGATGACGAATAATATACTGATGGTGCGATATAATCTGAATATCTGATGTTAGATTTTATAAGAGTTTTGAAAAATTACGCACAGAAATATTTCGAATATCGTTTATCGTTGAAATTAAACACAATTTTAAATATCCAGGACATGCGTGCATTGTTTGAATTCCTACATTAGTTAAACGCATAATAATGCGACAACAAGCGAGTCCTCTGTACACAATAAACGCACACCGAACGAATCAATTAAAAATAAATTTATGATTTAAGGACGCTCCTCTCATTGAAAAAAAACCACACGTATATAATACACGATAACTATAGGCAGAACGTCGTATGGTAGATAGCGCAGATTATTATTATTATTGCTATATTATGCTACTATTTCACATTTTCTCGTCGAGAATGTTACGTGGAGAGGGGAGGCGGCGCACTCGCCTGTGGCAAAATATCATCACGCTTGTCTTTTTTTTCTATCGCTGCGATGACTCACGCTAAATTTTACGCCGACTGACGGCAAACATTATAATACGCTCGCTCAGTTCGTGCCGACCAGTTAACGAGTTAACTATACAATAATTGAATATACATTGTATTTTATAATGTAGGTATCTACCCTACGTACAATTATTTTATTTTTATACATTTTTTTTTCGTCTACGTCACTCTAATAATTAATTCTCATTACAGAACTCCGTCGACGACACTAACCACTTGATATCATCATGACCTACTATACGACTAGGGTAAGTCGTTGTATTATTATTATTATTATTATTATCATTATCACAATAACAGATAAATACTCATAATATCTTCAACGAAAATCCAGAAACGGATTTACAATATTGTCATAAGAATCCATCATAGATAATTAGGGGCTTCATTTTGGAATTAATGAATTAATATCTATTATTTTTTTTTTTACTGGGATGGGCACATCGCATTATTTGGACACTGGAAAAACGGATGTTGAGGGTTTGGTAAATAAGACCCAAAAATATTCCCCGTTGAAACGATGCAGTACACGATTTATTTAATATCTCACGACTCTCATTGTTATTATTTTTTTTTTGTGTGTTTTCTGTACAGTGCACTCCCACGGTCCGTCCGGCAGCCGATTTCGATGCCGAAGCCGACGCAGCCGTACTTAGGACAGCTATGAAAGGATTCGGTACGGACGAGCAAGCTATAATCGACGTGCTAGCAAAACGATCCAACACTCAGCGACAGGAGATTAAAGAAGCTTTCAAGACACTCTATGGAAAGGTAGTAAATATATTTAAACAATGGGAACATATAATATACATTCTTTCAATCCATGTAAAATAGTATCACGATAATAAAACCATAAAGAGAGCGTCGAGATTATGCTTCGTGGTTTACTCGTTTTTGGTGAAAGTCTGGTACAAATCGTAAAATTACATTACTTATTCATCGTAATACGATATAGAGCATAATATTATTTAAGGGCATTAAAAATTCATATTTTGATCCCTGATAGTTTAGCGTGTACGAACATAGTTTACACGATCGATTGGATATCGCTAGTGGTTAGTTTGACCTTTTACGTTTTTTTTTTTTTTTTTAAAAACCATCAATTTCATAAACACTTTTATATACTATATACTATACTATTTATAATTTAAAATAGTAAGTATAATGAACAATAATAATAATTATAACATTTACTCGTATATTGTTATTTCACACTTTAGCACTACAGTATGTATTAATAGTTATATTCGTTTGTTGCGTGTTTTATGATAATGGGAGTAATCGGTTACACGGCTGACTTTCGTTTATGTAGGAGTACACTACCCATAAATAAATTAACCTAGGTATTGTGGTACCTATAATCTCTAAAAGTATTATTTTTATTACCTACACTATGTCGTGTGAAGTTAATAGTACAAAATATTCAATATTATATATTATTGTATTCAAGTTGATTTTTGAGTTTTTGAGTAGATGAAATAGAAAACGAATCTGACATCGTTGAATACCGATGTGTTTTCGTTTCAATTATTTTATTATTATGGTTAATGAAGACAACGCATGCAACATTATATATTAATATATTTATTTCCATTCAACACATATCGTGGTTTTGTTACGACGATAATTTAAATTTGTGGCTATCAGTTTTCGTTTTACAGGTTTTTCATCGTGATGTTAAATAATATAGATATACAATAAATATTTTTAGGTACGTGAGAAATTGGTTGCGGTAATGCAGTGGGATATCGGTAACGAAATTTAAATAATCGTATTGGCATGCAAGATAGGTAGTTTTTAAATTATTGGAGGTGGTGTATCTTTTCTTTTTAAAAAATATTTTAGCCTATAATTTATCTTAAATTTATATTCCTATCAATAACATATTTTAATTGTTAGATACGCACATCATATTAAATTTTTACATCTGTTTTTAATTTTTTTCAATTCAGACACTGGTGTTAGGTATAAAACACTGCTTAAAACTTTTATAACCTTTTTTTTTGGTTTTAGTTCCAATTCTTTTATTAAAAAAAAAAAAAAAAAAATCAATTATGACATTTAAAACTTTAGAATTATGGTTCTAATTCAAATTCCGATTATAACTCAACATTAATTAAAGTTTATTTAATTAAAAATCCAAATAAATGTAGCAATTATGCTACTACCTAATGAATCATTGGTAATTATTAAATTAAAATTATCTGAAACTTATTAATTTCTGATAAATCATGCTATAATAATTATCTATGTAACACGCGTTATAGACTTTGAAATTAAAATTATAATAACTTAATGTACATACTAGTTCTATATGCACAAAAAAAAAGATAATATTTTAATTTAGATATATTTTATCTTCAAATATTTGTTTTATAAATAATATCTTAGATTAAGTATAATACATTTGTTTATTGTAATATATTTAATTAGCACACAAAAAATATAAATACTTATTTTCAATAAAATTATGTTTAATTATTTATTTTTAGTGTATTTTGTAATCAGTACATCTACATCATAACATTTTTAATTTTGTTCATAATGTTGTGTATTTTTACGGTTTAATATAATCACAGCTATTTCGTTGAAAAGTACATCGTTTATCCATATTATATTATATACTTGTGTACTATACCATAACTGTGTCAAGGCCATATATTTAAAACATAATTATAATGTACGTATACGTATTTTTGCTCTGTAGGAATTAATCGACGATCTGAAGAGCGAACTCGGTGGGAACTTCGAGAACGCCATTGTCGCTCTGATGACCCCGCTTCCAGAGTTTTACGCCAAGGAGTTGAAAGACGCTATCAGTGGCGTGGGCACCGACGAAGAGGCCATTGCCGAAATATTAGGCACACTTAGCAATTTTGGGGTCCGGACAATTTCCGCTGTCTACGAAAAACGTAATAATATATTATGAATGAATGAATACTAGCTATACTCGAATTTGACTGAGTATCTGTAATAATATAGTCTGAATGCACGGCATTATTAAAAACTGTACCTATTTATTTGTACCATTTTACAGAATACGGAAACTCGTTGGAAGATGATTTGAAATCCGACACTTCTGGATCTTTCCAGAGATTGTTGGTGTCTCTGTGCTGTGTAAGTCACAATCGTAATATATATATGCATGTATAAAAGTTAAGTTGGGTAAAATTAGACGTAATTAAAAAAATCACCATTTATGTAAAACTAACATAATAATAACTTTATCGTGCACATAACGAACAGCTGTCTAACACAATATAATAGATTATTTACTATTCGTCATAAAATAATGATTCAGTAGACTTCCATTTACTTCCATTTTATAGTAAAAAAATGTAATAGAGTCTACCACGATTTTTTTTTGATACGATAAAATAGTTTTTCGAGAATATTAAGATATAAAATATCATACACCCTAACGGTATTTGATTGCCAATGTTCACAGTGTAACCGAACAATGATTGATAACTAACTTATAAAATATAATTTAATAAATATAATTTTGACACGTATTTTATATTTAATTGGGTATAAAGCAGTTAAGTGGCTATGTATTTAATGAAATAACACAATTTAATACTTAATTTTTAATAACACATACCGACATACGTTTTACAGTTAAACATATTGTTTTATAATGAAGAAAAAGCGATTCTGACACAACGGTAATACGTTTTTATATTATTTAAATACTTGTATAAAAGGCTAGCTTAATTTACATGATATTTTTGCAGACTGCAGTAGTTAACTAACACAGCTGTAGTAGATATCAACAAAGGTGTTAGGTGTATGTACAATAATTTTACTTACAATATTATGTACTGGATCAATATATTTAGTGTTGCAATGTAATTCTAATGTTGCAAGATCAACTATAGGATAACAATAGCATTATGATACATAACTTGGTAGTCAATACGTTATATATATTTTATTATTTCATGTAAAACGACATGAGAGATTTGTTGATTTCATTATGATGTGGTATTAATTTAGTGATAATATGACTACAATATCCGATGAATTATTGAAATGTTACGTTTCAGGCCAATCGCGATGAAGATGTGGAAGTCGATCGTAGCGCCGCGGTAGCGGATGCCCAGGCTCTTATCGATGCAGGTTTGTAGTTATTCATTAATTTACTGATTTGATTTAATTAATAATGTTATATCATAGTTATAATCAATAAGCCTGTTTGTATATATCTAATCATTGAGCAACCATAGTAAATATACAAGTACAGTACATAATAAATTATTGTTAATAATAATTTTAAAATAAAACTTGTAATAAATAACGATATTTTATTTACATTTTTCAGGCGAAGCTCAATGGGGCACGGATGAGTCAACCTTCAATTCGATTTTGGCCTCTCGTTCTTATCCACAGCTTAGAGCCATTTTTGAAGAGTACGAGAATCTCACTGGCAAAGACATTGTAGAAACCATTAAGAGTGAAACTTCGGGCGCCCTGGAACACGGTTTCTTGACCATCGGTGAGTATTTACATTTCCTCTCTCCCCGTTCAATGTTACTTTAATAAAATTTATTATTCTATATATTATTATAACCTAGTATGCCGATTTCCAGTAACTTAATAACTTTTTTCGGATTTATAACTTGAAGCCTTATCTACGCACGTTGTTTTAACGGCAATAATATAATAATTATAAAGTAATATAATAATATGATATTATGTACAGTAAAAAGTGCCAAGAAGAAAAGCGACTACTATGCCGAACAGTTGGAAGCCTCAATGGCAGGCTTCGGTACTAACGACCGTCAACTGATTAGAATCATCGTAGGCAGATCCGAAATCGATTTAGGGGACATAAAACAGTCCTACGAGAACATTTACGGTACTTCTTTGGCTGATAGAATCGCTGTAAGTTCGCAAAATATACAATATTTTATAAATAATATTACTATATGACGCAATATACCAACGTGTTTTAATCATGAATTAAGATATACCTTAATGAATTTTAATTAGCGGTTATAGTATCCCATATTCAATATTCATATTATACATGTTGGTATAAAATAAGGCTAATAAATAGTGTCTATAGTAAGCCTAATAATAACATTAAATGTATTATAATATTATGCATGCGCTATTTTTTTAAAACGTAACAATTCACAAGCATATAAGTAGGTACTTTGACACGGTGTTGGGATCGGGCGCTGCAGTTGTCTATTAAAAAAAAAGCCCAAATTATTTTAGACATCCACACATAATATTATTAGCTTCTATGGTATATAATTCGATAATCTATATGAAAAACTATGTGATCTGACGTTAAAATGATATAATCGTACACAAGTCTGTCGTAGAGTGTGTAAATATGAAATTATTTTAATTTTAATTAATTAAGTAATTATTGATGCGTGTGAAAAACAGACAAAATAAATGTAAACTAATAGATACATATGATTATGATTATATGAATAAAAAAATAAAACTGACAAAAATTTGGAATTTTTAAAATTAGGTATATTAGCTAATTTGTTATATTATTCAATTACATGAAAAAGTCTACAACTGTGCATGACCGACTAAATTACTATTATAGTAGCATCGTAACATACCTATTGATTATTATATTATCGACGGAATCGCTATTGTATTATAAAAGTGGCCTTTTTTTCTTTTGCTTTGAATGTGTCAAGTACGAAATCAGTCAATTGATGATATTATTCTACACGTTTTGTAAGTGCGCATGGTAAAGTGTAGATCTATTATGCCACTAGAATCCATTCATGCTTGAAATTAGTGTAGTGGAAATAAAATAAAAATCCTCTTAATAACTATATTATATTAAATCCTTTTATATTATTTCAAATGACAATTTAATGGAAAATTAATTTTACTTTAAAAACATTTCTATTTATACAACAATACTTAACGCAAAATTACCATGCAATACACACATTACAATATTACTTACACTCACATAATATAATATAACTAATTATATTTTATTAGTTATTTAAATGAAAATTTCATTACACAAATTTTTTTTTTTTTACTTTTTAGAATCTTTTTATCATTAAACTAATTTATTGTACACCAATCCATGCAGTAAACAAGTAATGAAAATGAATAACAGACTAAAAAGTGAGCTATATAATGTGCATATGTTGGTTTTACAGGCAAAGCTTTTTAATTTTGAAATTCCATTGTCATTTTTACACCGCTAACATAGCTCATTAAAGTGAACGAAGAAAACGAAAATACCATTTGCTAACCTGTTACTATTTATATGGCGTTTGTTTAAACTTCGAAATACTATAAATACAGATAGTTTTTTTCAAAATCGAGTTTAATACTTAAGATAATATGTTTCAGAGTATTAAAAATCCTTTTTGTTGCTTTTAATTGTTTCAAATTTTTAAATAGACAACTGCAGTATACTATATTATGTCTAAATGTATATAGACAGATCATATTACATAACACATAGACAATGCGTAAAGTAGGCATATAGTCATACGTTTAATATACACATAATTATTGTAACATCTCTCATAAGCCCTTGAATAGTATTTAGCTAAGACATGTAATAATAATAACATGTATTATAATAAAATTATAATATAGGTACCTACTAATTTTATTATTATCATCATCGCCTACTCAACGATATAAAAATTAATATTTATTATTAAGAATATATTTGATGGTCATAGGTACATGTGATCGAATATTTGTGTTTTTGCATTATTCACATGTACCTACATTGTTTTATAACTATATTATAATGAATTGATATATATATTCTAAAAATGCAATAATAATATTTATGCTGTATCGTACATCGGCTAATAAGGTTTTTTTTTAGGGCGACACCTCTGGGGATTACAAGCGTCTGTTATTGGCTCTCGTGCTCTAATAAAGCTTAGAAATGCATGAGGAAATGCACTTCAATTCTTACTTTATACTTGTACCGACTTTTAATTTCATGTAAATAATAAACTTTTTAGTTTCTATCATTATTTTTTATTATTTTTATTATTATTATCATTTATACAAAACGATTGAAAATAATTATATTTATTTTATTTGCAATAGTATTTATTATAATCATTTTTTTTCTAAAGTATATAAACACAAAATTTAGATGGCCTATAGTAATAATATATAAATTTGTATTTTTTTTCTTTTTTTGAATTAATACTCAAAAACACTTACCTATGCAACATTGTAAAAATACACATGTCACACACATGCACACAAACACATCCATACTAGTACACTTCGTTTTTATAATATAGGTCATCCACTTTTCTACGACTATAGGTTAGATACAATTTATGCAATCAAAGTTTTTTCATAAATAAAGACTTTTTGAGCTGGATAATACGAGATAAAAGTACAAAATGATAATTTTGTTTTTTATGGTCCATTGGCAATTATGTCTTCATGAAACACATTTTATGTTATTCCTATATTCATCTGGTTTTTAATTAAATCTAGGGAAGTTTAGTCAAACCAAAAATAAATAATACTTAAGATAACATTTTTTTTTGACATCTAAAAAAACAACGATGTACATTTATTTGTTGTAGAAATTGCCTATATGAACCCCTCAAAAATCTTGCACAAGACGTCCTCATAAAATGTACTACTTTAATTTTTTTATAGTTATAGCTATAGATAATAATACAATATATGATAAAAGCATACATGGAAAATATTTAGCTCAGAGCTGAAATTTTAAGATTTTAATTTTATATGGAGAAATTAAACATTCGTTAAAAACCAAACGTTCTATTTAGTTTCTTTTAATTTTAAAGTTCCAATTCAAAATCGTATAGGTAAATTGTATTTTACTATATATGACCTAATACACAATTAAAAAAACTGATATAACAATAAATAATAATACTTAATACATTAATAACTCGAGAAATTTCTAACATCACTACTTATTTTGTTGTTATTATATAATAACCATGTACTCAGATTAGTATTTTTACCTGTTATCGCAGTACGAAAATACAATTTAGTTGGCAATTATAACATATAACCTTATAAGACAATTATAGGGGCATCGGCCATTTATGCCAAAAAAAAAATAATTCATTTTGGGTGCAACCCTTTTGCGCCAAAATAAAAAGATATGTTTTTACCGACAGCCCATTTACGCCAAATTTACCTAGTATAATTATAATAAAATAATATATTTTTTTCCACAAATAATAATAATCAATACAATTGTATTTAAATTATAGTCAATAGTTTGAATTTTTTTTTAAATAATAACCAATAAATAATAATGCAAATTGTTTTAAACATTATATAGGTAATAAATAGTTAATAAGCTTATATTGTTTGAAAATTATAAGCTATCGATAATTATTGTCAATTGTACGATTTTAAATGACCAATTTGTTAATGTAAAATTGTATGCAAGTAAATTTGGCGCAAATGGGCTTTCGGGAAAAATATACCTTTTTAATTTTTGCGCAAATGGGCTGTACCCAAAACGAATTAATTTTTTTTGGTGCAAATTGGTAACCCCCTAGTATAGCATAGGACAAAAATGTTGTTTTTACGTATTTATTTAATTTGTCTGTTCTCAGAGCGATTGTGGTTCAGATTACAAAAATTTGCTTATCACACTTGTGTCGCAATAATGCTTTTAAAAAGGAAGGCTCTTTCATTCCACCGTCATTGTGGACGCACACAGATTACTCTACTGACTTTAGTATTACTACAACAACAACTATTAAACCACTACGTCCTGTAGTAATTTTTGTGTCACAAAATGTCTAAAATTTTCTCTCAATATAAATGCAATGTAATAGATAAAATTTATTTTTTTAATTTATATTATATCTACTGTTAAACTTTCACGTACAGTAATTAAAACTTCGATTTCTTCACGTTACCGTATATAGAGAGAGAATTTACACACTCTTCGGGTACTGTATATGATATAATAAAATATTTTACTAATATATAATATATATTTTAATCTACAGTTATTATACAAAAATATTTTCCTAATTTTTATTATATATTAATATATTATATTTAACTATATAAAATTATCGCTAAATAAAATATTTTGTTTTTGCGCTAACTTGCGACGGCTTGTTTGTTTTTATTGTTTAATGTATGCAGCTGGTAATATTTCCTTCTACCAAAGTAAATTGTTGCACGTTAAAAACAATCACTTTATTATATTTTTTATTATACATTCACTCGCATGGTACCAGGTAGAAAATTCTTAATATTTTATATTAAATATACTTCCTATTAAAAATAAACATATTTCCTCTGATACTTAAATGGCTTAGTAACTTAATAGATTAAATCGGATAAAATATTTAGTTTAATTCTTAATCAGATGCAGCATAGGTACAAAGTCACCAGGACGAAGGCTACGCTTAATGAAATTTAGATTCTATGATGTGTTCAATACAAATAGAATCTATCAAAATGTATTACCTTATAAATTATAACTCTTTATAATCATTCATAATATGCTGTGTCGTAAACTGTTATTTAATATGGGAAAAAGAATTACATTAATTATGTTTTATAGTTATAATTATATAATAATTCAATAGTTTTAAAATTAAAAAAGGAAAAAACTAAAGTCACTGCCTACAGAATACTAACCGACAAAACTCTTAATAGTTAATAGTTTACCACACCTAATTTCCTACAGAGAATTCTCACAAGTTACGTTCTCAGGAATCTTCCAATTTTACAGTCACTCTATCAACTACGATTCACTTTATACAGGTTTAAAGTTATACATGTCATAGACATGGTTTATTGGGTGTATATTTATCTATTTAAAACATTTAATAATTATTGTATTATACTAAGTTTGTAGTCAAGCCAGTCTTTACACATAAAAAACATAATATAAGTAAGTAGTTAAAAATATTGTAGTTGTAAATGATAAAATATGTCAAGTGATAAACTGATGAATAACAGGCTGTTAAAAAAAAAATTCTCAAAACAATATACAATCATCAAATATGTACCATTATACAATATAGTTGTTACTTTCGATTGTGTATAAGTATAATAGGCTAAAATTTCTTTATATCTACTTAAACACTGAAGCAGATCTGTATTCAGTATATTTTGGTATTTAAATAATGAATCTTAAACCGATTTAATAGTACATACTTTATATTTATTATTTAGAACTTACTTAAAACAAGATATATCGGAGTGAGTGATTTGTAAATACTGAATAGCAGTGTGGCTTTAGGAAGAGAAGAAAACAATAGACCACAATACATATTATTTACATTAGTAAACATTATAAACATAGTGAAAATATCTATTTTGTGTGTGTAGAATTCAAACAAGCGTGTGATAATATAATCTGGAACAAATTATGAAAAAATCTAATAAAATAGGTATCCCAACGGGTAAAATGAGAATTATTAGCATCTATTAATGTTGTTAAATAATTAAGACAATGGTGTTGCGTTGTAGATTGTGTTGTTTAATAACTTTATAGATATTGGAAAATGTGATAAGGAAAATGTCACCGTGACAGGCAATGGAAGCAAATGAAAGTCATACTCTCCTGGCCTATGCGGACAATAAAATAAATAAATAAATAAATGCAAGACAGCACTTGGAGAACAAACTGAACAGGAAAAGACCACGTGGTAGATAAGCAACAGTGGTTGTATACTTGGATGTTGTCAAAAGATACATGCAAAAGCTGAGACCAAATTGAAATGGAGATATGAATTATGCGTATAAAAGAGATGAGTAGAAAAGTTTGGATTTTACATCAAAGCGTCTAAATAGTTTATAATATTTAAAAAATAAATAAATAAAAACGAGGATTTATAATTTAAATATATATATATATATTATAGGTACTGGTAAAGTGGCGTGGAAGGGAATACCACTGTAATCATTTATCATTATATAAAATAATAAATAAATACTAATTTATAAAATAAAAAAATTCCAGATAGGTAAATAACAAGATAATAATGAGATTTTCTAAAACTCGTTTTTAAATAAAAAATATGACATTTAATAATGTTGGTTTAAATAGGTACTGTTTATTAGTAGGTATTATTATTATTCATAGTACTTGAAAATTCCAAATATCAGAGCGTGAATTAATTTTTTATTAAAATACAAATTAGCATATCCGGCGGTAAATCGCACTAGCTATATACTATTCAAGTAAGTAATACAAATGTAAGTCCTAGACTATATAGTCTTAAAAACACCATTAAAGCACGTGTAATTCATTAATATCTATGTACTTATATTTATATTATGTACCTACTTATGTTATATTCAATTTTGTTTTTTAGGACGATTGCGGATCAGAATGTAAAAGTCTATTGAAGACTATCGTTGATCAATAATTAATAATAATTATTTATAAAATATTATATTATAAAAAACAATATCTTAAAAATATGGCATACCCATACTATACCGTCTATGCTTATTAATATTAATCAATGCAAATGCTTTTTATATTCATTTTTTTTATTCATGTGTGTTTTATTGTTTTTATCAATTTACTTATAACTTATAAAGCTTATACTTGTATTTGTTTACGATATATTTTATGAATAATTGAAAGTATAAGGATAATGCACATTATTATATAGTTAATTGATTTATTTATATTATAATTTTATTTAAATTTTAATTATATGTTAATATTATAAAAATATGGTTTATGACAAAATTTTATTTGTAGTTTACTACTAAAAAAAAATGATTCTACTCGTATATTATGTCACTGCAGAATACATAAATCTCTAAATCTAAGTAGGATGGCTAGAATAAATAGTATTTAATTAATTAGAAGTTATATTTATAAATTAATAAAAGATAATTATTTTAAAGATTAAAACTATATTTCTCAAATGCTATCTATCTTAACCACCCTAATTTATAGAATAATTCAGCAAGTATTTGCTGTATAATTCAATAACGACTTGCGTTTTTGATATTATTTATTTTAATTAGTATAATTAAGTGGGCAGGTAGTAAAAAATAGTAAGTAGGTACAAAAAATTAAGTACACGACACATGTAGGTAGGTATCTAATTTCCGCATCAGTAACTTATCGTAATTTTTGATTTATGTATGAGGCACTTATAATTAACAAAAGTAGGTATAATTAACCTAACTCGTTTAGCTGTTTATCTTTTCAAAGACCATTATTTTTAATTATGTAAAAATATTTTAACGAAAAATTCGACTTCTGTACTGTACCCGTTTTATAATTTAAGGTAATTCTTTTTTGAAGTATAATATTGTATCTCTTTAGATTTAATTCCAATAAATTTCCATAAACAGTCATATTTTTCCAATATAGACACAGTTTTTATTCATTTACTTTATATGTAAATATAGGCATTCCGAACCGTTACAGAATTTGTGAAGACAGTTTGATAGTATAGATTAGATTACCTAGTTGTTATGGCTGTATGTAAACTGCGGCAAAATTTACCTTTTTCAAAAAGTCGATATGTAAACTGCGACAAAAAAAAAAAATTAAGATTATATAATCTGCCACAAAACCGAAAGATATATCATACAAACTGCGGCAATTTAATTAGATACCTATTGTATTATTATTTATTTATTTATTTTTTTTTTTTAATTAAACAATTTTTTTAAATAATTTTTAATATAATAATAATATTTTTTAATTTTAAAATTGGTTTTTTGATTATACAATCATTACGATCTAATTTTTAATAATAATATATTTTTCAATTTTAAAAATTGGGTTTTCTTTATTTTTACGCCTAGTACTTTAAGAGATACTAATAGCTGCCATAACACGTAATACGTGTTATACCTAATTAAACAATAAACGTGTATAAGTATATAAAATAAATTGCCGCAGTTTGTATGATGTATCTTATCGGTTTTGTCGCAGATTGTATAATCTTAATTATTTTTTTGCCGCAGTTCACATATCGACTTTTAGAAAAAGGTAAATTTTGCCGCAGTTTACCATCTCCCGTTGTTATTTTTAATACCTACCAATACAATAATTAATTAGTGGAGATATATAATGATAATAGTATTTAAGTTACATTTTTTATTTTTATTGAACTTAAGCTTCGATGACTAGGGCCATTAGCTGTTGTAGGGGTAAGGTTGGTACGGTAGGTTGTTTTTTTATAATTGTTACGGTTGATGGTAAACATGTATATGTGTGGCAAGGTTTTTAACCACTATGTTACCGGGTGGTCACCCATCCGGGAGCTAGTCACTGTGGCCGTTACTTACTCTCAGTCACATTCCTTGACTGGTAGCAGCCAACGCGCCACGCCAAGCCACTTAAGTTACTTTATTTTATACATAAAATTCAATTTTTTTTTATTAGTTAGACACCTAATTATTTTAGAATCTGAACACCGCTCATAACAGTCAATACTAATTCATTGTAGAACAAGAGTTTCCGGGTTTTTTAGCTTGCAACTATCACCACTCGACCTCGCCTAGGTGAACGTGAATCTAGGTGTGCCCAGCGAACCGTTGACGACTTAGGGTCTTCTGTGGAACACCAGCATCGGACCCTGAGGGCTGAGGTCCGTATCTTACCGAACGCCAGAATGATTATTGATTTAGTTAGGTGCCACCCGGATTTCGACCCCCTACTAGTTAGAGTGGTTTTTTTTTTTTCTCACTGCCATCATGTTTCAGCTGAGGTAGGCTCTTCAACCTAAAGAGCACTATGGTCAGCCCGATTGCAGCTCATGCCGGCGCAGGTGGAGCTTTCCTTCCCGTGACAAAGTTTCAAATTGATTTCGGTTGGTTAACCGACCAGTGACTTGGCCTCCCCGGTGACACCCAAAAATGCAAATCGTCAATTTTTTTCGATAAACCAAAAGCGCAAATTCATTTTGCGCTTTTGTACCTTAATAGTAAGATAAAAGCGCAAAAATAAATATTTTACCCGTTACACTATTAAGTTTCATTTCAAAATTATTACCTATTATTAAATTTAATTATTTATTTTAGTTAAATATATAGTAATCTTTTATCTAATTTAAAAATACATTAACAGTTATCGGATTCAGTTGAAGTTTAGTATTATTGTAACGAATTACGGTGAAGGTTGATAATCATTTAAAATAACTATACAATGTATACAGTATAAGCTTATATCTAACTTATAAAATACACTTTATTTTTGTAAAATTTATTTGTGCATAGTTTGTTTAAAAGGTATTTATTTATTTTTTGAGCCTATGAAATATTTATTTTTGCGCTTATGGGTTACTGCCGGTCTCCCACTATTTTGACTTACCAGTCCCAGCTTGCTAGTAGTAGGCCTATGACTATTATCATAGAACAATGTAAATGGGTGCATGGTATAGTTGTAAATATATAAAATATTGATATTGCCGATATTGGTACAAATAATACTTTCTTTTTTTAAATATTTTGGACTTATGTCATATAGTTATAACTATTTATAACAGATAATAAGACAGTTAATATATAGGTAGATTTTATCTAAACAGTAAACCAGGGGTCTCTAAACTTTTTTTTATCCGAGGGTCACATAAAATAAAAAAGTTCTTAGTGGGCCAAAATACATGAACACATTTAATTTTCATTTATAATTTATAAATTACAGCCAATATAGCTGATAATTGCTCGTGCGCGCGATAACGACTATGGAAACTATTCATATTTTTAGAATATTTGCCGTTATTTAGCGGGCCGGTGAAAACTTATTCGGTGGCCGCATCCGGCCTGCGAGCCGTAGTTTGGAAACCCCTGCAGTAAACGAAGTAATAGTATATAGGTAGGTATACGCCATGGTTTTCGGGTGTATTGCCTATACCTCTCAAAACAGTGCTACCTGCTCTGATATCCTATAACAATTAACAAGATACTGGGACGTTGACAATATATACCAGCATATAACAAAAAGTAAAAAGAGTGCTACTAATTACAATATTGTCGAACACAATTACTAAGTAAATTTGATATAAACTGCTATGATCATCGGACATGGACCGAAAGTTGTAATTACAGGTTTATGATATAATTTTTTATACAGTAGTAGGTAACGTGATGCATTAGGTACAAGAAACTACGCAATCATTTTAACTAGATAGATGCATGTGACACTATCTTAAGGATTTGGTTTATTTGGGAGTGGGAGATATGTCACCTGGACGCCATAATAGGATCAACGCATGTATTTACGCTTGAATCCGAAGAAGCGTAAACCGTGGGAACACGACGGTGTGCACTCTTGAGTAAAAGGGATATGAATAAGAATTGCGAGAAAAGGACCTATATTATAGGAAAGCCCGAGATAGAACTTTTTCAGACGTGATTTACATGAGTTGGAGCGAGCACCTTGGAGATACCAATGGCCAGTCTATGTTAGGATTTGGTTATTTGGACTTAGAAATGTTTTCAATTTCAAAACACTTAGAAGAATTTTTACGGCTTATTTATTTTACCCGCGACTTCTGCACAGCTCCATACACAATTGCTCATACCTGGTCCGCTATAATAACATGTATAAAAGTTTTGTGTAAAAAAAATAAGAAACCTAAAAAATTGAAGATGGTTAAAATTCATTAGGAAAAGCTTAATAGGTATCGTATAACTAATTAATAAAAAAATGTTGAATTGCAAACAATAAATAACTTCAGAAATCGAAAGATTCATAACTTTTTACATTGTATTTCATAATTATATTATTGAGCCCAAGTTCCAAAATTACACGTAAAATACTAAAATATACTTTAAGTTAATGTTTCAATTTGAATATTTTTTTTCAAGTTACAAAATTGTACTTGTTGATACGTTTAAGATTCTTTTTGATGGTTTTCAGCTGTTTATTTAATCATTAAGAAGCATATATGAAAATAATCAATCAATTAGCTCTAAAGCTTTTTAACTTTAAAAGTACTTATTATTTATGTACAATTTCCTATATATAGCGCTATAATGGTATATGGTTTTGAAATTGAAGTTTTTTATGAACCTATGTGTTCAAAGTAAAAGAAAAACATATAATTGCAAAATCAAATTGTTTATTGTATTATTCAGAAACAAAATTAACACTAAAAGTATGCAAATATAGTTTTATTTAACAGAATAGTACAGAAATTTGAATATAATATTTTCAATTTTTAATGCCATTAATACACAAATAAAAAATGTTTATGTTCAAAACATAGCTTGTGTATAAAATAATTTTTTATTTATACTTTTAAAACAAAATATTGGGCTTATAGTTTCTTATAGTAAGTGTTTTTTAAAATATATTTTGCAATTATGAACTAAAAAATGAACATAAAAATAAATAAATAAAAAAGTTTAAATAAATTATAAATTTAGAATTAAAATTCTAAATTACTCTTATATAAAATAGTAATAAAAAAATGCATTGAAAAATTTTTTTTTTTTTATAGCACTTTTATTTATTCTTAGTAAATATGTATTGAGTCTTATGTATTAATAATTACAAATAAGTGATTGATTATCATAAATACATTAATTGTACAATTGAATACGTGTAACAACCATAACAAGAAAATAAATGATTTGTGAAATGTATTATTGATTAAATACACATTTGTAATAGGAAGTAGGTAACTCAATAGTGTTTTTACCTATTTATTTGTATGTGTATTAAATAGGTAACTATTTATTATAAATATAATAAAATATAATAGTTATTATTTACTTATGGTTTTTCAAATTTAATAGTTTTTTTTAAAAGTAGTATACAAGTCTTATGATGGTTATCCAAATAACCTACCAATATTTAGATTATTGATAATTGGTTGAAGTTAAAATAATTAAACATATAACCATACAGCCTTAATTTTTGCCACTTAAAAATATGTTTTATGTATAAATATTATTTTTTTTTTTACAAGAATTATTTATATTATTATACACAAAATATAAAAGTGTTGTTTAATTGTGAAAAATCATAATATTAATGGAAACCTAAACGTGAGTACAAATGAAATGCTAAAACCTTTTAATTTTTAATATAATTATAATTTAAACAAAATTAGTTTAAGTAAGTGTTTTTAAATTAAATACATTTGAACAAATAATAAAAAAATAATTTGTTTATTTTTCAATATAGTGTTGCACGAAGCATGCATATTAACTTAATTTATTATGATATAGGTTATAATATAAATAGCTATTTAATATAATATCTACAATGTTTGTTTATTATAATATAATTCTGTGCCCTGGGATCTGAAAGATTCAATCTTTTTTTTTACCGCAGCCAGGGAATGAGTTGTAGCCATTGTATTAGTCTAGCCTTAGGATAACATTTATCTAAAAATATTAAGATTGACCTTTTTTGCCCTGATTTAATATTTGATAAACAAATATGAATAAAATCCCAATAATATACACAAAAATAAAAAAATAACAATTAATAATAATTAAATATTAAAAAAAAAATAAATAAATAATATTAATCACATAATAATTTGAGGATCAGGTACAGAAGTACTGATTGATTTGTGTGGTAAAACCTGTCCACCATTAATGTACAGTTCGTCTTTAACAATAACATCTTCTCCAAGCACAGTAGTATTTTCCATACGAACCCAACATCCAACTACTGAACGCCAACCAATTATGCAAGAGTCCAACCACGTATGTGATTTAACTGTGGCTCCAGCTAGTATGGTACACCTTCTTAAGCAAGCACCATCTTCAACAGTAACATTTGGACCAATAGTAACATTTGGACCAATTTTACAACCTTCACCTATAGTCGCAGTTGGATCAACCAGAACATTACCAACGACACCATCGGCAGAATACAATGAAGTTGGACTACGTGTCTTTAACGATGTCAAGTACATACACATTCCTGAAAATAATTAAAAATTATTTCAGGTTAGTACTTAAATATTAAAAACACATGAAGAAATGCATGGAATACATAACAATTAACAACTAACCAGTTAGGAAATCTTTTGGTTGTCCCACATCCATCCAAAAACCTTTCAAGTTAAATGCATATAGTTGACTGTCTTGGGCCATAAAAGGAAACACTTCTTTTTCAATGCTTGTTGGCTCTAACTTAATTCTATCCAACACAGACGGGTTTAAAATGTAAATACCTGCATTGATTTTGTTTGAAACAAATTCTTGTGGTTTTTCAATAAAACTTTCTATGCGACCTGTGTCTTCATCATACATCACAACACCATACTTGGAGGGCTCTTCAACCTTAGTCACCACAATTGTACCTTCACATCCATGCGATTTATGGAACGCAATTAGGTCTTTAAATGGATATTCACAAATAATATCAGAGTTTAAAACAAAAAATGGCTGATTTTGTTGGTTAGCCAACAAATGTTTGGCTAGAGCTAAAGGTCCAGCCGTGCCAAGTGGTTCAGATTCATGGGAAAAAACTAGCCGAACACCAAGTTTTCTGGCCTCATCACTCATCTCTTTTTCCATCTGCTCAGCACGGTACGAAACAGCCAAAATAACCTAAATTGAATAATCATGATATTAGTACTATCACTTAGCACAAAAAAAATAAATAAATAATAGCTACAGGTACCTAAGAAATGAAAGGTAATATTATCTAGTTAATTAGGTACTTTAAAATCAAGTTATATATAAATATAATAATAAAGCTTACTCAAGGGGACATTTAAATTATATATAATTATTAATTAGATAACTGAATAAAAACCACATACAAAACTAATAAATTTACTAAATTCATTTTGAATTTGATAGACATGGAACTTTGAGGGATTATTACAAATGTGCACAGGCATGAATAGGCAGTATCTCGTGCAAGACATTACAAGAATGTCAACTAACGAGTCACGCTGGTGGAGGGCAGATTAGATGTGCACAAAAACAGGATAGACTAACGGAACTAGATGGTGAAGTGCTTACCTCTCGCACACCGACTGTGACCAAGGCTTCGATCTGATGAAGTATCATCGGCTTGTTGGCAAACTCGACCAGCGGTTTTGGCCGGCTCAAAGTGAGCGGTCGAAGACGCGTGCCGTAACCACCGACCAATATCAGTGCTTTGGTTTCGGCCATTTTGGTGTCGACGCCGCACATGTCGGTAGGACTTTATAACGAACTTTACATGCCCTAAGTCTTGTCGACGAACGTCACTACGCCGGTCCTGTGTTGACTTATCCTCGGAGTGCGTCTGTTGCTCGATGGGTGATGCGCCGACGCGGTGGTGGTAGAGACCTGTTAAACGTTGTCGGTGCTCAAATTGTAGGCGAGAGAGCAGGTGGAGGCGGACGATGTCGAGTGTCGTCTTCTGAAACGTGGACGGTCCATAGTGCGGATAGAGATCGAGACCAACGCGGTGCGCGACACACGGATAATAAACATTAAACGTGGCACGTCGTATGACGATCGAAATAAGTCGATCAGAACGCGACGGTGGCGGCGGCGTCGGCGTAGGCCAGCCACTCAGATCATTTATTCTTTATCGGGTCGAACCGATTGGAAATTGGAAAATGGGATTGGGATAAGAGAACCACGACGGTTTGCCACACGCACGCGAAAGCAAACGCACACGCACACACCCACTATAATATTATTATTATTATTATTGCCGTGTGTTATTGTACACGTATGTATTATAATTTATAATGATTGAAAATGATAAACAGTAATGATTATATTATAAATGTTGTCCTGACGAGATAAATGACAATTGAAGTCGTAAATCGCAAGCGCACTTTATGATCGTGGTGAACCACAGCAATGAACACGTTATTATTATTATTATTATTTAATGATTATAATTATTGTTGTTATTTTTCACGGAATAATTAATAAATGCTGTTATCACCGTGCACGTCAGAGATACCAGCTTATCACCGCCATAAATGGAGATTATAATATGGTAACGATAATAACCGTTGTTTCTCATTTTTACCGGTAGATGGTAATCCGGCACCGGCTTGAACAAAATAATGAAATAAGTAAAAAAAAAAAAATCATATTACAACGAATTTTTACATTTTGTGGTTATTTATTGATCGGGGGAGTTAATAGGTGTTTTTCTTTAAGGTCCATGTAATCAATCCTTAGTTCTTAGTTGCAATTTATAAAATGCATAAATAATTATAAAGGTACCTACTTATTTATAAATAGCAATCATATTGTGAAATTAAAATAAACAAAAAATGTAGGTACTACTAAAATATTTGGATTTTTTTAAGAACAACTTTTTGTAATAATATCTAGTAAAAACAAAATAATGACGTAATTAGGTTAGGTTAGGTATTGTTTAGATAAAAAACAAGTTATATTATATCAATAATTTTTCATAGCATAAACTAAAAATATAACCAATTAATTAGTAGATACCTAACAAAATAACTACAGTTAATTTCCTGCCTACTTGTTTAAAATAAGTATTCACATAAATATTAAAATTGAGTATACAAAAATTACAAAAAATTTCTTTGCTGCATATAAAGTAAAACTGAAAAAAAAAACTATCAATAGCTTCAATATTATAGCATTTAATTCATTATCAATTGCAAAATATATAAAATCGTCAACTTAAAAGTAATATTTTTTCATTTCTTTTAACATGTTCTCATGATTTGTAATACAATTCTTGAAGTGTAATTTTATTCATTTTTTAGCAATCTGGTTTATGTAAGGTGCAGAAAGACCATGAAACATGAAATACTGTAAATAATTATAAATTAAATGACCCTGGTTTTTTAAAAAAAACATTTTAAACCCATTACATTTAGTATTTTAGAAGTATTCAATAGAATTATACATTTATTATTAAGCAAAAAATAAGAGTAATCGAGTAGGTAATAACAGCTTAAAAAAGAAAAAAAAAACGAATTTTTTTTAATTTCTTCATTAAAAAGAATTATATTAGTAATTGGAAGTATTTTTAAATTATTTTGTAAGCTTTGTATCACGATTTATATATTACACGCGTATATTTTCACAATGAAATATGAAAATTTTAAGTTCCGATTTTTAAAAGCTATAGCTGTTGTTAAGTTTCATTTTAATCCAATTGATAATATAAGACACTCTTGTGTATAATCCTAGATGACCTAGTTGCCACATATTTTAGATCCATTATATGACCATTATGACCTATGGATCGTTCATAGGATACTATGCCCATTTAGGTGCTAACGCAGGGCCTTATTTGGGTGTTTAACCCCCTCCCTCATCATTGAAGTATTAGGAATAAAAAATAAATTACTTGACCTACAAATGTATAGATAACTAATAAATAAATTAAAATAAATTATTAGTTTTAAAGCAGTATTATAATTATATTATATATGTTACGGTAAATGATGTTATATCGAAAATTAACGTTATTTACCTACAAATGTGGGAATTATCGTTATTTTCTAGTGAATAACGTTAATGACCGTAAAATTTGGGAAATTTTGATCTGATTATAAAATAAAAGAGGTCATTGCGAAATTGTAAAAAAATAACCAAAGAATTAATTACCAAAGAAGACAAAATCGAAAATTAAGTCATAGAAATCGCAGATAAAATATCGGAACTTGGTACTTAAATATTTGTTAATTATTTAACAAACACAATTTAAAACATTGATTTTAATAAATTTCCAAATTTTAAATAAAATACAAATAAAACTAAAATATAAATATTTAAAAAATTATTTTAAATATTTTTTTGATGATTGTCAAGAAAATATTTGTATTGCATGTAAAAATTAAAAAAAAAAATTTAGAAAAACAAGGAGAGGAAATGATGAAAATTTCTAAAGAAAAGTTTCCTCAGCTTGAAATAGGCATAACTGTATGTGTATTTATACCGATCGTTGATAGAGCTCGTGATTCTATGCGAAATATACTAGCAGTTGTCACCCAAGTTGAACATGACTTATACAAACTCTGTAAGTTAATTCTTAATGAAAAAAATATATTATTAAAATTAAAATTTGTTTTATTATTTTATAGGTACGGAATATAGTTTTCTTAAATACTATTTCACATGCCGAGAAATAGCTGTTTGCAAATAAAATCAATTAAATATGGACAATGTGATAAAATTAGCAGATGGTAGACAGTTGACACTGAGAGAAGTAGCTAGTAATAATTCGGTTGCGGCCCTCAAAGGTACCAGCGTTGTCATTGCAAGACTAGTTGTAATAATAATAAGTATTGTGCCTACCTTGGGGCTGAAAAATTATGTTATATTAAATGTCATGGGAGTAAAACTTTTAAAAATAAATAAAAATAATAATGCATTTTTTCTATTTTTAAAAATATCTGGGTACCTACATAATTTTTCAAATTGTTGTATTTGAGATTCATGCACATATCTGATTTATTACCTATGCATTTGGTCATTAACGTGATTATCTGGTTTATAACGATAATAACCGGTGAATAACGTTAATTTCCATTCAACATCATTTACTGTAAGATATTATACAATAAAACCATCGTTATTTATACTCTTTTATGTAGTGATACTATGATAGTTATGAACATTTTTCACCCTCTCCCCATCCCACCAAAATGAATTTTTTCTTACGTTCGTGTCTATACCCATAAAGTAGTACTGATTTTCTGTAAAAAAACGTCAAAGGTCTGCTGGAATCACACTTAAAAGTATTTTTTATTTAAACCACAAGACTCTAATATTCAATTTGCATATTTAATCAAAAGAACAAAATGTTCGACAAGCATCCTATCAACTATTACAAGAAACAAAAAGCACAAGTAACCATATTTAGGAAGAATAGTAGTAATTGAAAAAATACGATAATAAAATCAGTGGAAAAGCATCTAAAATAAACTAAGGAAATGTCAACAATATCCCGAATAAATAAAAAAATTGAAAAACGAAGGAAGTACGTATAAAAAGGCGTGTAATGAAGAGGGATTTTCAGAATATAAAAAGTATTGAAACTTAGTCAATAGGGAGGCAAAGAAAACTAAAGAAGAATGGTTGAACAATATATAAAAGGATATTGATTTTTGTTTGGTACGTACAAGAACATTAAATGATTTTTAACGGATTTTCAACGAAGCTTTTGAAATATGATACTGGAGAAGAACGCTTATAATTCCCTGGACAGGGAAAGTTAAAAATGAAAAAGTATTTTTTATGACTGATTGAATGGAGAATAATGTAGAAAACAATCAAAGAAAAAATGGATTGGATGTTTAATGAGAAATAATGAACAATAATAGAAGGAAAAGCTGAAAGAGATAGACCAAGAACATCATCTTTAAAACAGCTGTAATAGATAGGGACGAGTGAAAGTCTATTGGAGTCAATGAACTAAATTAAGGATTGAAAAAAAACATTTTGTAATCATTAGTATAGATACTAAAATCTTACTACTATTTTAGTATATTTTAGTATACAATAAAATAAATAAAAAATAATCATGATAATCATATTATAGATTAAGTATAAAGCTTGATAATGTCCTCAATACGTATCAGCTAGTGTAAAAAAAACTCCATGATTTAATTTTAGTAATTCTATATCATTGTGAATTCTTTCAGAAGTTGTACCCTTCACGTATTATAATATATTTAATCAGAACATCCAATAAAATTGTCATTGACACTATATGATCCAAATTTAATTCACCTAGGTGCGCTGTGGTCTTAAAAATTAATATATTACGGTCGAGTTTCAATAACTTAAACCTTAATAATCCGAAAAAACTTAACAACTCGATTTTTTTTTTTATTCCTTAGCTATTCTAATCATTTATTTAATGTATTAAAAGTTAACTTATTAAGTTTTGTTAACTAAAATAAGAAATTGTGATAAATAGTCTAGTTGAAGTATATTATATTTGTTATATCTGGGTATTTTCGTAAATATATTACGTTTGATCTACTCGGCTGTATAATACAAATAATAAACGAGTAGATAGAAATTGATTAGTTCATGTACAATAGTCTAACTAATTAGTATGTACTAGTTAATATGTGTCTACTGTCTACCTAGTGTCATATTATGTCTATTGTGAATATTTGTACATATTTTTAATGATATAAAAATTAATCCACTAATAATCGGAAAATCAGATAAATCATGATGTTTTATAAGAGTTAAGAGTTAATCATTCGATTACAAGTTAAACAAGAGAGCATGGAGACTGGTGATTTTTATAAGAATTGGCTTGTAAAATTTGATCAAAAAATGCGACTAAATCAAAAGAATGTTTTATTATAATATATTAATAACTGTATAGCTCATTGTAATTTTATTTTAAATCTATAAAAATAGATTTTTACTTTTGAATATTTCATCTAAAATACAACCAATGGATTAGGGAAAAATAAAAAAATTCAAAACATTAACCTACAAAGAAATTATTCCAAAAATTGCTTACGATATTTATGAAAGCAGACTATATTCAATAAATATATTATAATCTATCCATATATTGTGTGAAAAAGCATGGCGAAATTTACAACCATATAAATAATTGTTAATTGTTTTAAAACAACTGGATTCTATTATTTCTATTTTAATGAAGAATAGGATAATGGTGACTTAAGTTTAGAAAACAATGACGGTGATGATAGTGGATATGATTTGAAAATTGTACAGTAGATAAATTTAATATCGATCAACAAACTACATTTCATTCGTAGGTATGCTATAATAGATAATAATAATGTTTTTGTCAGTGAACTATTAGCTGATAACTACGAAATCATGGGTATAAATATATCAAATAATGATTCCGAAAATTATTAAAATTTTGAGTCTTAGATAACTTTAATTATAAAAACGGGGAACCAACCAATGTCATCATTAGAAACTGTTAGAAAAATTTATCGAATCTTTCGAATGCGTGTATGCTTTTATACTCGAAGCTGTAGACAAATTAGAAGATTTTGTCAATAAATGTTTGAAAAACCAAAAATTAATAATTAATTATTTTTCTACTATGTATAGTAAATTACAAATATGTATACACTCATAATACCATTGTATTTTTTTAGCATTTTTTATAGCATTTGTGTAAAAAAATTTTGAAACATTTTAAAATTATATTTCATTACATAGTTCAAAGTTTTGACTTAATTTTGATACATTAAAATGATGTATCTCGAATAATACATTTCTTGAAGTGAATTTTTATTTCCCTTTAATTTTGAGTTATCACGTCTTAACTGTATTATTTTTCCACATATGGTTTTTGGTGATAATTAATCATTTGAAATGAAACTATCCAATAGATAACAAATTTTTGAACTTTTACCTTCAAAACCTAACCTTTTCAAACCGGACTTTATGGCCGGGATTTATATATTCTATAGCACTATTTTGTGTACGTTGCAGTATATTATTTGGTGTCTAATTATAATGAAATGCAACCAAATATACAATATGTTTCTATCAAAAACTAATAAATTGTATGAAACAAAACACATTACTAAAGGCTAATTTCACATTAAATGTTTTGTATCTTTAAAAAGGCATTTATTTATAAATGATTATTTTGGTAAGAGTTCGACATTTCATCTATAGTTTAAGCTATAGCTTTATAAAACTTAAGTGTGGTTTAATTTCTATTAGGTATATAGATGTATAATGTATTTTAGTGTCTACCCTTGACTAAGCTGTGCTATGGATTTTCATTCATGGTTTTCCTTAGATGTTAAACGTTTAAAACTAATTTTGAAGAACTATGTATTTTTGAAAATATTACCATATTATATTTTCTTTTATCATTATTTATTTTATTGTTAAAATTTAGAAAGTTAAGTAAATATAATTATATAGTATAAATTTTCAATTGTATAATGAATAAAATAACTATAAATAAATCGAAACAAAATTTATAAGCGTGCACAGAACTGAATTAAAATGTTTATTTTAAATTATTAGTATCCATTTTTATATGTGTAGGTAGTTATTCATTATTCATACATATGAATGCAACATTAATGGATGTAATAACCGTAACTCGTTCCATGTATAGAAATGGCTTAATCGGTTTCTATAAAATCCAAGTTTTCTAGAAATCATTTGATGATGAATTCGGTGTACCTACATAACATATAATATAATATTGTTACTTTTTAAAACTAAAATAAAGATAAAAATTTTCTTACTGAACTAGATAATATAAATTTATAATAATTAAGTACGTTCGAATTACATAATATACATTGTGATATCTGATAATTTTGATAAAATAAAAAATGAATGGTGGATAAACCATAGATTAAGTATGATTTAACTTGAATGAGCTTAACACACGTTAAGCAACACTTAAGTGAAATATAAAGGTCAAATACATTCTTATGTATTATTAGTTTAAGATTTTAGCTATAAGTGATCGAAGAGGTGGACGATGTGACGGCGCTATCTTCTATACTACCATGAATACGCTGTCTTTCCACTAGATCGTGTGATACGGACTATTAACGACTTAAAATGCCATCATAATCAAAGTACGAGTTCTGAGTAATACCATTGATTGTAGATAGTATCAATTTTACTTACCGCAATGTTATAATAATATATTAATTTATTGAATAGACTATATTATGAGCGTCTTAATACACTATTAATAAATGATTATATAATTATTATTAGGTATTCGTTTTAATATTGCCTAACTACAATACAATATAATAATAAATTATCAAAAATGTGAGTGGTTGGAAAAACATGATTTGGTTTTTATTTTACTTTAAAATATTCCATGGCTAATATTACTGATTATAAACATAAATATAACTATTGCTTAATTTTTGTATACAGTATTTATTATTTAACTGCATTAAGATATGTATTTTATTTTTATTAAATTAATTCAATGTATAAAGTTACAAAAATGAAAGCATAAATAGGTCACAAATACATGCATAATGCATATTTTGAAATTTTTTCTGACATGAAATATAAAATAGCCAAAATATAAAAATAATTGTTTGTAAAAATTAAAAATAGTATTATATATATATTAATAATATTTTGAATTTTATTGGTAGTTTTGTTTAAAACGATTTTGTTTTTGTCATAATAATCAGAATAAATATGGGTCATTTATATAACAAAAAAACTTTTCAAAATATTTCGAAAAATGTTTAAATAAACTTATTCAAATTTATTGGAGCTCCCTTTTTACTATTCCACATTAAATTGTGTACTGATAACTTCACACCTAGCATTTACTTTTTAAAACAGTTCAAAAATCTTTTAACAATATTCATTAGACTTATTAGACATTTTTAGATACTTATTGAAATTTAGAATTTCTTAAGCCTCTCTATAATTTATACTTCAAGAACTTTTTATTTCAAACTTCACATCACTTCAACTTTAAACTTCAATTTCGTTTTCAAATAAAAATTTCACTTTGATTTAAACATCAATTTCCAATCTCAAAATATTGTAGGATGATTTTTGTTTAGTTGTAATTGTTAATTTTTTTTTTTTAAATAAATAAATATTTGATGCCAGTTGTGAAGTTAACAGTACAAAGTGTAATGTGGAAATGTAGAATAAGTAAATAGGAAAGCTATAAGAAATTTAAAATTTTTCCAATAACTAACAAATTGTTTGAACATTTTTGAATGGTTTAATAAAATATATTTATTGAAAAAAAAAATGTTCCGAATAGATCGACAACATAACTGTAATGGTGGTGTACAATTTATGTTTAATAAACTCCTTAGATTGCCTTACGTCAAACATAAAAAAAAAATTTTAGATAATCTTCTCCTGAAAATGATGAAATTTTAAGTATATATTTTAATTGTCTCAAAAAATTTGGTTAACGTTTAAAAAAAGTTTTTCAAAAGATAATTACCCTAAACCAAGAATACACTTTTCATTTTAAAATGGTTTAAAAACCATAATATATTCAAATTTATAGTTTTATAGTAAGTTACATAGTATATTTGATTTATCCATGTACAATGTCAGGAAAGCAACTTATATATACGTCCCTCTTATCTACCAACTCCTTTTATTATGTTTGAAATGTATTCATTTAATACAATTTAATATTTTTATTGATTTCATGAGTGTGACATCTAAAAAAGTTCCAGTTGAAAAATTTAAAGGTTTGATGATGACCGATATATCAGTATATACTGCCGTATACTATATTTACATATTTTTTTAAATATTAATGTATTATGTAGGCGTATTTTTGTTAAAATATTACACGTTTATTTGATATTTTATTTTGTTTTTAAACATAGCTTTGTGCGATTGGCGAAAAAACATTATCATAGTAGATAATATTTATATGTTAAAATATATATGTTTAAAAGTAAAAAACAATGTGAAGTCTTTATCATTAAAAATATACCCAAATTTCTTCCCATTGTGTCTACGCATTTAATACATATAATAAAATATTTCGATAGGCAGATACGTACGTAGAGTATAATAATATGAAGTCTACAATGAAATTGTATTTAATTATAGTTATTTAACCTTGACGTTAGTTATTTGAACATTACACTATGTTATTAATATAATAGATTCATATTTATTGACTATTTATACTATTCGTATTTTAATGATCATATTTAAATTTGTTTTAACTTCCGTAATTTGTAAAATAAAGATGAAAGTAAAACAGAAAAAAAATGATTTTAGGCCTAGCGCGTAGAGCGCAAAATCTTGCGGAGCGTTCCAGTAACGGATTTCCTCGAGGTAGAAAAATATGTACAGTGCATCGCGATGTGCCGTTCCGTCACAACGTGAGCGCGATATTATTAACACGACTTGTTCTCGCGAATGCTCCAATACGTCACGAAAATAAATCGTTAAACTTTTTTATTTATTCACCTCCCCATAAAATATTTTTCACTATTCCAAGAACTGTGTGTGTAAATATATTTTTTTAATTTAATATTTTAGGCAATTTTAGTCGCCCTATTCTATTATTACTCCAATTTCGCTAGTTAATATTATCAGTAACACGTGCAATAATATACAAATTATATTTCAAATTAGTATTGTATTTTTATATGGTTTATTGTTGCTCTCAATGCCATTGAACTTTAACCAGTACCGAACTTAATAATATACGTATTTTGTTGGATATGGCATTACTCATGAGCATATAGTGCAATAAGGTAAGAATAAATAAATAGATATTTGAATATTTTTTATTATTAATATAAATACGTAAGCATAATAATAGGTATGTGATATAATTATTATTGTACTGTTTCGTACAATCGGATTTATTACTTACACTGTAATTATACGAAGAAAACGTTAATATTGAATAAATTTCAAATCTTAAAAGTTAATCACTTCTAAAACAATCATTTAAATCTTTGATCAAAATTATGACCTTTTATGATGTTATATGAAAAAATACTTTTGTAATAGAACTTTGTTCATTTTTATCTACAGTAGGATGCGTAATAGGGATATTCTATTGTTGCATTGAACGAATTTCTAGAAAATTATTAAAAATATTATTTTATAGTTATTTTATTAATAAAACTAGCAAACGTTTATTATACGTACAATTATTTTTGTATTTTATTATAATAATTGAAAAAGTAAAATAACTGTATACGATTTTTTTTCGAAATTTGTGAAACACCTATCCTTATGATAATAGTATAAAGCTAAATAAATAACCAGGGCTTGCATTTGTAAAAAAAAAAAATTATATGTTTTATACAATTAAAACGTTACACAAATTTTGAGTTAATCGTTATTCAGTATTAAAACGTTATTCAACTTTTGCGTTTATCGTTATTCAAAATTAAAATTTTTAATTTATTTTATAAATTATAACTATTAAATGATAAAAATGAATTATCTTGTTTAATGATATATTATGTATAACGTTTCACGTTATGTTTTGTTTTGTTTTATTTAATTATTTATGTTTATCGTTTTCCGTTATAATTACATTTACAAATTTTAATCGTTTTTTTGTCAAATATAACGTTATAATCATAACATTAATACAACGTTTGCAAGCCCTGTAAATAACAATATCAATGGTTAAAAAAAAAAATAAATAATAAAAAAAAAATGTTATTTTATTATTACCTTCTATTGTGTTGTTATTGAATCAAAGTAAATTATTATTACCTAATTGTTTATGGGTACTGATTCGTTATATTTATTTTTTATGATACATTTTACTCAGTTCACTTTTTTTGTGAATGTGGCACAAGTAGGTAGTGATTTCATGGGCAAAGATAGCAGAAAAACCAATTGGAGTAGGTTATGTATTTTTTGTTACTTTCGATATTGGAATGTACTATTTAATATGAACCACCTATGTTCTATTATAATATTGAAATAAAAATAAAAATAAAATAAAATGTAAGTATGTAGTTGCTATGTATATTTTAATATTTCAATTAAGTAAAGTATAAAATATTCACTATTCAGTGTTTATTTTATAATACCTACAATTTATCAGAAAAAAACTAAAAAAATATTATTTTTTATTCGATTTTTTAAAAACTGTTTATGTTCTGTTTATATACATTCGATGATTTAAAACGAACTGCAGAAAAACGCAATAACAAAAAATAGTAGTGTACTCGTATTTTGACTCAACTTTACAAAATTGAACTCTTATATGCGGATTTTAAACAAGATAAAAACTGAATGTTCAAATTTTTTTTATGCTTGAATTATAAAGTTGTAAGATATATATTCACTTATCTGAAATCACTATTTTGACTTTTAAATTAAAAAAAAAAAAAATGTAATGACAACTATAGGTTTTGCATACTACACCTTACAACAATGCATAAATTTACTATGGTTATGCAAGTGCCAAGTATAGAAAGCAAAAATACATTTTATAGGTTAATGGTTAGAACTATACGTTATTTGTAATAAAATTATGTTTTTACTTTTCAAGAATATTAATATTGCGTATAAATAATCTGAATTTTAAAATAAATAAATATTTTATTAAACATTTTTTTAGAGAATAATTTTTTTAGTTTTTATTTTTGATTGTGTTGAGTATAACATAAAAGACAAAATAATAATATAATAATAAATATAACATAATTAATAATGTACACATGATCATATTTTCTTCACAATGAAGACTCTTTCGAAAAATAGCTCAGTTATGAAGAACAATATTATATAATAACTTAATCAGGTTGATTGAATAATTTGAATATTATATTTCAACACACATATAAAGAAAAATAGAAAAAGACTATTAAGCTAAATGATAGATTATTACGCTGGTTGTTTTGAAAATAAAATAACATTAGGAAATTTATATGTCTTGTGTAGAAATTATGAATTGGAGTTTCATTAATTTCATGAATGAGAATGATATTAATTTTTTACTGTGAGTTATCATTATTTATCGTAATATTGACGAATAACATAATACTTATGGTTCCTGATACCTAGATATTAATTTATTGTCATAAAGTTATTTATAATTTATCATGTAACCAAAATTTAATAGATAAATTCTTTAGAATACACTGTTATTATAAAGATTTCAAAGTTTATCTTCACAATGAAAGAGTTATAAATTTGTAATAACGTCATTATTTTTATTTTTTATTCTATCATCTTAAAGTGGAACATAATGAAATACTATTTAATTTGATATATATCATTGTCTTTCAATATAAAATGGACTGAATTCTTATTGGTTTAAAGTCCAAAGAAAGCAATTTTTCCGAGTGAATTGCATTCAATTATTTTTTTACACAATACGTATTTTTCATGACAGTTAATTAAAATGCATTCATATTGTAGTATCATCATATTTTATAGTTTATTAAAAATTATGTTTATATTTTAAATAAATACAAATTTTATAAGATAATAATTAGATTAATATTTGGTATAATGGATATTGAATATAACTCCTATGGACTATAATAATACATTTTTGTAAGTAATAAAAAGAGTAGTTTTTGTTTTATAACCCTTAGTTAGGATAAGTGAATAATTAATTTAGTTAATGATGGGAATTCTATCAACAAATAATTTAATTTTAATACTGGAATAAAAGAGTTATAGGTAATAATACCATAATCGGTTTTGAAAAATAATATTTTTTCTTTTAAAATAAATACGTTGATTATAGGTATATTGTACGTTTATTAATGTATACACTAAAATTGCGTATTTATATCTATTAACAGGCTAGAGCACTCTATACTAGTATTTATTAGCATACACTTTATTTTTAACTGCACTTGTAGGAGTACAGGATTCATACTAATCTATTTTACGTGGTAAAATACATTTTTGGCTATTATTGAATCAATAATTTTAATATTATATTTTTCTAACTTTGAAAGTTTCTTTTATTTATTGATAAAGTTAAAATGTTCATAAACTTGACTGACTGTTTTTACAATAAAAATACACAAATATTACTTAGGTTTACAATATGAAAATCACATTTTTAAAGGACAATTTTATATATTTTATTTTGTAAAGATTACAAGAAATTAAATAATTGTTTTTATAACTTTTGCAATAAAGCATTAAAATCAAACTTGGAATTGAGAAACATGAGTCAATAAATATTTATTTAACATAGTTTTAACAGTGATAAAATTTAAAATTTGATTTTTGCATTAAACGAATTTGTTAATTTATAAATTAATACCTAATTGTTATTATATTTAATGTGATAAAAATAATACAAACAAAAATAAAAATAATTCTGTTTAATAGTTCTATAGCAATTATATATGTAAAAATGTTTATATTATTTAAAAAACCAAATAATCACAAGTCACAAATTCAAATATTTAATAACTATTTATCCACCTAGAGCGTTTATCCCAGTGTACCTACTTATCTTTAATCTAGTTATTTTATTATTATTTTTTTTTTTAATAAATTTAGATAAATACACCATTGTTGTAAAATGTAAATTTAATATGAATCTTGCAATTTTTTAAAGATTTAAACGTATTCCGTGTAAACTTATCAACTGATATGAAAACTTTGTTAGTGTTATTTTTATACAAAAACTAAAATTAAATTATTCACTTTAATTTAGTGATAACTGATATTACATGATTAAGTATATATTATTCAAAAAATAAAAGAATTATAATTCATGATAAAATCATTATTATTTACGCCAATGCTTGTATTATAACATAGATGTTACATAGTTTAAGTTGTTATATTATAATAGTGTCTATAAATAATATGGTTTGGGGATTATTAATAATTGTCAAATGAGCTTTTGTTACTATGTAATAGCGAAAACCACAGAATAAATGATATGATGCAATACAAATATATTTATCAATTATTGTAAACTTGTATGGATGTACCAACTTATCAATTAAGTTCTACGATGTGAGGTGTATGCTTACGTAGATTATAATATTATTATGAGTATCTTAATTGGGTTGTGGCTTTACGTGACATCGAGTTCGTAGTGTAAAGTTATTTTGTACAATAGACTTAATAAAACAAAATAAATTGTTTCGTTATAAAGTTGTAACTACCTATACCATAATATGTGCATTCTTAACACAACATACAATAATATATCATGTGATATATTCTATACATTGGTTGGAACTTTGCACTGGTTTTGTAACACAATATTTGAAATGATTTTCTAAAATATATAAATTTTGAAGGAATAGCACCGTTAATAATTAATTATGTTGATAAATGATACTTGAATACATTTTTATAAATATCTTTTTGAAAATCAGATGGAGTTGGGTAAGTGTTAGCTGTTGAGTATTAAATTAGATTAAGTATATTTATACACTTATTTTTAAACTGATAAAAAAAAAATATATATATTATCCTTTAAATAGTTTTTGCGTAGGTCTCTAAAAAAACGAATAAAATAATGCGTTATTATTAACAATCAATTTGAATGGATCTCATTTTAAAACAGTATTAAATTAACATAGATATATTATCTATAGGTACATTGATTGTATGACTAATGTAAGGCCTTTGTGTGGTTATTATTTTACATACAAATTTTTGTGTACTTACTAAGTTTAATGTGTTAAATTACTTAGTTTGTGATTTCAAAATCCTAATAAATAATATTAAAATAGCGTACCTGTTGTGAATATTATATTAATGACATTGTTGTAAGCGGGTATATTAAAATAAA